TTTTATTTGCATTTCCCTAATGATTAATGAGGTTGAACATTTTTTCATATGCCTGTTGGCCATCTGTATGTCCTCTTTAGAGAAATGCCTCTTCAAATCCTCTGCCCATTTTTTAATTGGGTTGTTTGTTTTTTTGGTGTTGAGTTGAATGAGTGTTTTATAAATTGTGGATATTAACCCCTTATCAGATATATCATTGGTAAATATCTTCTAATTGGGAAGAGAGTTTAAAAGATGAATCCTAGGTTTCTGGTTTGTTTAATTGGATAGTAAAGAAAAGAACCTGATTTGGGAGTGAAGTATAAAAGTTCAGTGTAAGACATTGAATTTGTGATTCCTTTGAGATATCTAGGTGAAGATATCAAAGCATTAAAAGTATATTTATAAAACGATACAAACGATGTGGAGAAAGACTAGTGTTAACAATGCTAAATTAAACACCTGTGTAATATTACTCTAGAGTTTTGCTGTCCAGTGTGGTAACTACTAGACACATGTGGCTATTGAGCTCTTGAGTATGACTAGTCCAAATTGAAATGTGTACAATGTAAAATATAATCAGATTTTGAAGACGTAGTACCAAAAAAAGTAAAATATATTATTACTAGTTTTCTATATTGATTACATGTTTAAATGATAATATTTTGGACATATTGTGTTAAATAAAATATATTGTTAATTTTACCAATCTCCCTTTACTTTTTTAATGTGGCTACCAGAAAAAATTACAGATATAATTCTCATGTTTCTATTGGAAGGTGCTGTTCTAGAATGTCAACTCTCTTTGGTAAAAAAGAAAAGCACAGAAACAGGCTGATGGAAGCAAAACAGAGTATTCATGGGAATGGTTTTGTTTAGTTTTGTTTTTCCCTCTTTCTTCATTTTGCAAATCTCATATAAATTATGTTTAGGCATTTTAAAACTTTTACACTTTTTTTACACTTTTTTTTTTTTTAAGATTTTTATTGGGGAATTGGGGGAGGGGCCCAGCGCTGGGGAATTGGGGGAGGGGAACAGACAAATTGCTGTCCTTTTGTTCTTCAGTCTAGTTATGGAGGATGTCGCTTCACTGGCCCATGTTGGTATTATCATTGCGCTCTTCCCGGGTGAGGCAGATTGGTTGCTGGCCATTGGACGGCCACTCACGGTGGCTCTTGGCAGCTCACGCTGGCTGCCAGCCGCTCATGCCGGCTGCCAGCCACTCACGGTAGCTTATGGCAGCCCACTGCAGCTTCACTGCAGCCTATGCCGTTGCTGGCGACTCACGGCAGCCCAGCTCCAGGTCGAGCTGTTGTTCACCATCATAGCTGTAGAAGGTGCAGCGTCACTGGCCCTACCTAATGTGGGGTCCTGCTGCTCAGAGCCGGTGTCTCAAGCCAACTGTTAACCAACTTGCTACTCGGCCGGCCCTACACTTTTAATTTCAGAAGGTCAAAACAATTTGCTTCCTTTTTATACTCTATAGAAAATGTTAGCTTTCCCAGTGGCAGTAATACTTCATTGAGGTCATCAAAGGAATATAATTCATCCTAAACAACAACTTTCAAGCATGGTTTCTGTCACCACCTGAAACATGTTCATTATCAGATTTTTATGCTGTATCATTATCTTTAAGGTGCTGAAAATAGTTCTGATACAGAAAGTGCTCCTTCTCCTTCACCAGTTGAAGCTGTCAAACCCAGGGAAGATAGCACTGAAAATGCGACTTCTCGAGGAAACCCTGAACCTGTGTCTGAGCTTGAGCCCACCCCTGGCACTGCTCCTAGTGCATCTCCCTCTTCAGCACTTGCATCTACAAAGCCAGCTGAAAATGAAAGTGTGCAGACCCAGGCGAATGACAGCGTCACTACTGAGACAATAGAGCCAATGGACATCCAACATCAGGAGCGCAGTGCTGAAGTGACTTCTGTTGTTGATCTCCCCACAACTACCAAAGCAGACTCTGTAGATGTTGAAATGAGGGTGCCAGAAAACAGTCCATCTCAAGTTGAAGGTGATACCAAAGAAAGAGACCTGGAGAGAGCCAGCGAGAAGGCAGAGCCTAGAGATGAAGATTTGGTGGTAGCTCAGCAAATAAATGTCCAAAGGCCTGAGCCTCAGTCAGACAATGATTCCAGTGCCACCTGCAGTGCTGATGAAGATGTTGATGGAGAACCAGAGAGACAGAGGTGGGACTCATTCCTTAACTATTTATTTTATCTTTACTCTGTTGGGTGCTAAGTCACAGAATGGTGTTGGCTACAGAGAGTACGCCTCTGTACATATTGGCAAGTTAAAGGTAGTGTGTATGATTTTAATATTGGGTTATTATGCTGTTCATCTTTTTAACCAAGAGTAATTGTGTGATCGTTATTTTTTAATGGAAAAGATTACATATATATATATATATTTCTTACATCAGTTATTGCATGCATTTCATATGATGGCAGAAAAGGGGATTTCAGCTGACAAAGTTGTGAACTAAACCACAGATGACTGCCATTCTGGTGTTGGAAGTAGTGCGATGTGGTTATGAAGGTGAAGGCAGGAGGCACTGGCTATAACTTTGTTTGCTACAAGACTCGCAGCCTCAAAGCTAGGCCTCCTGTATCCTGAGTATTAGATGTAAGCAAATGCTGAGAGGAGAAACACGTTAAGTGGTCTCAAAATATTTTAGAAAGCGTAATTTAAATACAAGTTAATGATAATTATAATCACTTTTTAAAATCAGTTTAAATTTTAGATTGTTCATATTTGTCATTTAAACTATCAGGTATAGGGGTGGCCAGTTAGCTCAGTTGGTTAGAGCGTGGTGGTGATAACACCAAGGTTTCTGGTTCGATCCCCATATGGGCCACTGTGAGCTGTGCCCTCCTTAAAAAAAAAAAAAACCACAAAAAAATAAAACAAAAAAAATTATCAGGTTATACACAAATTAATTTATAATTACTTTTAGTCATTAATAATATAAAAATATGTCCTATCTTTATGGTTTTTATAAAAATTACAGTAAAAAACTATTTTATAGAAATAGATACTACTTCATTTACTGTGTTGTCGGAAAAGTCATGACGTATTTTTTCTGTGTTTTTCATTGCAAAAATGCATCATGACTTTTCCGACAACCCAAAAATACACCTGATTTTCTGGGCATTTCCTGTTCCGTGAAAGAAATGGAATCGCCTACAATCACAGTAGAATGTTGGATTGCTGAAATTCTAGAAAAGAATTAGACTGAAATGTCATTTAGTCAGAAACCCTACCCAACCTTGTCTTTTTTCTTTTTTTATCCCCTTTTTAATAAGAAAAACGTAAATAAACCACTCAACAGACAGCCAAATTCTGTTCTAAGCTCAGCCTTTATACTGTGTCCTGGTGTCATTGTGCTTGCAGTTCGTATCCAGTATATTTTGTATCTTACAAAATGAGATTTGATGCTAGAATAATAATATCAAGCATTACAGGGATTTCTCCAAAGAGATTTTTATATAGTAGATACTAGAATTTTAATCAACAAGAATTGAAATAAAATAGGAGTCCTACTTAACCATTGATTTTCCAGAAATATAACCATCTGGCAGTCTTTTTCTCTCATCTCACAATAATCTAGATTTTAATTGTCCCAGACTTTGGAGTAAACATAAATGGATTCAAGCTTTGTGGTCTCTCTTGAGGCATTCTTTAATGAAACATCTAATCTAAAAAAAGGATTTTCTGTGTTTTGCACTGTTGGCTTTGGTAACTATATTTATAAATGAAGGAAAAATTAGGATGACAGTTACCTTAATGGAGGAGCATCCTAAAGATGAACATGACAGTAGCCTTGAAATTCAGAAATTTCTTGGAAATATCTAGTGGTCTTTGAATGAATTTCTAAAGTCTGCATCACTTTCAAACTATCAAAATTATACTTTTAAGTTCCTACATCTTTAATATCATCTTTATTCTTTATGTAAAATGTAAATAGTTTTCTTTTATACATTCTGATTTTATCAATTTATACCTTTTAAAATGTTACCTACCCCCAACAACTGACAATATTGGGAAATATAGTCAAGCCTGTAAGGTATGGCACTAATGTGTAATTTTCCCAATCCATATGTATATTGGGCGTCCTAAACTCAAGTATACATTTAGTAAAGTGAGTGAAGCCGGTGGAGCACTAAATGGCAGACTGATGAATGGAGGAGCAAGTGTGTGTTTGAAAGGGCAGCTGCTGCAAGTTCAGCATGTTGTTGCTATGTGAGAATGGTGGTTCCAGCATTGCCATTTTTTTCCATTTTTCATGAGAAACCAAGAGTCTGGAATTTTGGGTGAAATTCTCAAATTTAAAATGACAGTGATTTCAAATGTTTTAAGTAGAATGCAGCATAGGGAATATGGTCAATAGTATTGTGGTAGCAATGTATGGTTCTAGCTAGGTACTAGACTTCCCCGGGGGATCACTTCGTAAATTATATAAATGTCTAACCACTGTATTGTACACTTGGAACTAATATTAAAATAATATTGAATGTCAGAAAACCAAATATTAAAAAATATATATATAAAAATAGAAACAAAACAAAAAAAATATTTTAAAAAATACTGTGTGATCCTAGCAAAACCATCCTGAACAGGTAACTAGGTTGTAACCTATGTTAGTGATAAATTAGGATCTAACATTTTATAATGGCATTTGCTCAGAGTGTTTTGTTGGTTGGATGTAATTGATAAAATTTAGATAAATTTCAACCTAAATCAGTATTAGGTTTCTTTACCAGGAAAAGTAGCATTATAGATTCCCTTTTCCTTACTCTTCAAGTATCTTGTAAGATTAATATGATGTGTGTGTATGCACATGTGTGTGTACATATTAACTTAGAAGGAATTATGGTGATTGTATGTTTAAAGTCTTAAGAATATGTTAACTTTTTAAAATTGCCAATTGCAGAATGTTTTCTATGGACTCAAAGCCTTCACTGTTAAACCCCACTGGTTCTATACTGGTCTCATCCCCAATAAAACCAAAACCACTGGACCTGCCACAGCTTCAGCATCGAGCTGCTGTTATCCCACCAATGGTAAGTTTTCAATATGAGTAAGAAAGATAAAGTTGAAAAACAAAGACCTTTAGAGACATTTCTTCTCTTCCTTAATCAGTACTTGATTTTTAAAAATACTGTAAAAAGTACATAACGTAAAATTTACTAAGTATTTTTAAGTGTCCAGTTCAGTAAAGTATATTCACATTGTTGTGAAACAGATCTCCAGAATTTTTTCCATCTTGTAAAACTGGAGTTTTATTCCCATTAAGCCATAGCTTCCCTCTTTCCCCTCCCTCGAGCCCCTGGTAACCAAGATTCTACTTTCTGTTTCTATGAATTTGATTACTCTAGATACCTCATATAAGTGGAATCATACAGTATTTGTCTTTTTATGACCAGCTTATTTCATTTAGCATAATGTCCTCAAGGTTAATCCATGTTGTAGCATGTGTCAGAATCTCCTTCTTTTTTAAGACTGATAATATCCCATTGTATGTATATACCATATTTTTTTATCCATTCATCTGTTGGGTATATGTATTACTTTTCAAACGGATTCATTGTGATGGTTGATTGAGATGGTCATTTCCACTTAAGGAAAAAAAAAACAAAAGAAATACATATAATGCTCTCTAGCCATACATGTTAGTAACTTCTGTTTTTGTTTTGCTTTGCTATGAGACTGCAGTAGAATAAGTAGGTAAATAGGTTTTGAATATTTAGAATGAATTATAGAGATAATGGCTAACTTCAATATACAATTCCAAATCTAGTTTTATTTACATTTTACCTTAATCTCTACAAGCTTGACTCCCTTTTGATAGTGAATTCCAATCTTGGGTATTGTTCTTTCACTTAGTTATGTTCTAGCTCTTCCTTTATTTCAGAGGATAAAAATTTGTTTCCTGTCTCACATGATAATTGGGAAAAGTTAAGTATGTGCTTATGATAGACTCACCAAACAAATCATTAAACATTTGTTTATTCATTAATTCAAATGGGTATTTGTTAGATGTTTGCCCAGTTCAAGATAACGTTTTTAATGCTGTATGGAATATATACATATCACGATCTCTTGACTTCAAAACCTTAGAGATTGGTCTTGATAATAAGACAGAAAACATCATAATAAAAATTAAAATGAGAGCTTTTTTTTTTTTTTAAGATTTTTTTTGGGGAATTGGGGGAAGGGGAACAGACAAGTTGCTGTCCTTTTGTTCTTCAGTCTAGTTGTGGAGGACGTTGCTTCACTGGCCCAAGTTGGCACCATCATTGCGCTCTTCCTGGGTGAAGCAGATCAGTCGCCAGCTTCTGGACGGCCGCTCACGGCAGCTGCTGGCCGCTCATGCTGGCTGCTGGCTACACACGGTAGCCCATGGCAACCCACTGCAGCAGTGGCTGCAGCCTAGCGGTCGACAGCGACTCAGGGCAGCCCAGCTCCAGATTGAGCTGTTGTTCAGCATGTCAGCTGTAGAGGGCAGTGTCACTGGTCCTCATATGTGGGATCCAAACCGGGGCCCTCTGGCGTCCCAAGCCAGCTCTTAACCAACGCACCACTCGGCGGGCCCGAGAGCTTCTTCCTTAATGAGACACATAAGAAAGACTCCACACTTCCGTATTGTGGTTAGTAGTATATTCCGTAGTATTGTGGTTAGACTAGAACAGTTCATTTTATAGCAAAAGGAGGAAAAGCCACGTTTGCATATAAGCCAAAGCACAAAAGCAGGAAAATTATGTGTGTTCACATTCAGTAAAAACTCCTGTGTATAGTACCAGGAAAAAACCATGGAAGTCTTTAGATATCAGGTTCTAAAAAAGGTCAGGTCTTTCCTTTTCCCTGGACTGTTTAGTATTCATGAAATAATAGACTGGGTCAGGGACTGTTTATTTAGTTTTGGATGCAGTAGCTTGGGTCTTTCCTTCATGAAGTGGGAGGGACAAAATAAACAAAGAAAACAAATATATAATTGCAAATTGTCATGTTATGGACTGTGAAAGAAATGAACTGACTGCAATAAGAAGGAAAATGGGAAGGGGGTTACAATATGTTATTGAGTGGTAAGGAATGACCTGTCTGAAGAAGTAACAGTTAAATTCCAACTGGAAGAGAATTGATATGTTAATGAATTGGTTGTGGAAGGGTTGGAGATTGATACTAGCTCCAGAGTATCAAAACTGCTGAGGTTGCTTTTTCTAAGATGGAGATCACTCAAGGAGAAGCATTGAGTTTAGAAAATGAAAAGTTCAGTTTTGGATATAAGTTTTGAGGTGCTTTGAGATACTCAAGTGGAGGTAGGTAGGCAATTTTATAAGTGTGGAACTTGGAAAAAATGTCTTAGAAATAGAAGTTTATGAGTCGTCAACATATAGATGACATTTAAATCCACAGAAGTGGATAGATAACCTGGTGAGAGGACATAGAGAGGAAGGGTAAGGACTCAGGGCTGAGCCACTGGGATTTGACCATCATAATTTAGAAGCAGACAGAAGTATTTTAACTTCTGATTTTGATTTCTCTTATCACAGCTTTGTGATTTATATTGTGTTCAGTTCTGAAAGTAACTGTTTAGCATTTTAAGCATTATACTTGAAGATTACTTTGATTAAAAAATGGTAAAATGGTAAAATCACTTCAACCAGTAATATAGAAATAAGCATTACTTGCACCAGATAGTAATTATTAATATGTTGGTCATGGCGTATTTAGATTTTTTTTTCCTTTCTGTAGGTTTCCTGTACCCCGTGTAATATACCAATTGGAACCCCGGTGAGCGGCTATGCCCTCTACCAGCGACACATTAAAGCAATGCATGAGTCAGCACTCCTGGAAGAGCAGCGGCAGAGGCAAGAACAGATAGATTTGGAATGCAGAAGTTCTACAAGTCCATGTGGCACCTCCAAGAGTCCAAACAGAGAATGGGAAGGTAGGTAGCGCTATGACTGTAAAGAACTTGACTGAAACACAGCTATAATCAAAGGTAGTGTGCTTTGTGCTTTGTAATGTATCAGCATAGCGATTGCTTTGTTACGCTTTTCCCGAGTAGATAAGATTTCTTTAAATTGACTTCAGTTAAACTATTAAGTAATGTTAGTAATATTGAGTTTTCTGATATTCATCTTTATGCTGGAAGACTGCCATGCTTTATGCTCCATTCATCTGAGTTTTCAGAGTGAGTGTGAACTGTTGTTCTGTCCTCCAAGAAAATCAGCTTTAACGGGGTAATATTCTATGATGTGATGGGAGACAACCTTGTGTATATAGAGCCAATCAGACCATAGCTCAACCCTCACCCCAGCATTTACCAGTTTGTAGCCATGGGCAGGTCACTTAACCTGTCTGAGCTTTAGTTTTATCATTTGTAAAGTGCAAATTACCTACCTACCTACCTGCCTTGCTGGGATTACAACCTGTAAGAAAGAACAAACACTCACATTGTTTTATAACACGTGACTCAGTCTTATTTTATATATATTGTAATGTATAATAGTGCATACTGGTTAGTATCTAAGTATGTACGTAGTATAAATAGATACCATGAAGGTACTGTTATCCTTGTTATGTGACTGTTATTTCAAATGACAGATTTGAGCTGTGCATGCTTTTTTTTAGTTGGTACATGATACACTTGTTTCTTTTAAAAAAAGAAGAAAGGGAGCGATTTCTAAATTTTAATAAATTTTTCTGGCATGGTTAGAAAATGGCACATGTGTTCTGGTTGATAGTAAATTTATGGACCAGATACTACCGTATGCTTAGAATATAAGAATAGTAAGGTTTTATGTGATTATGGTTTAGTTTTTTTGTAGTGATTCAGAAGACTCTTTGCAGTGCCTTGTATAGATAAGAGCTATTAGCTATAGAATGCCATGCATTTCAAGGGCTATTTAATGTAAAACTGGAACCGTGGTACTTACCTGATCCTGCTGTCTTCCCACCCCAGTCACACCAGCAATGAATGATTAGTTACGTGACACACTGTGAGAGTTTTAAATATAAGATTGTTAGTGTTTTAAATATACACTAGTAAAAATGTGAACCAGAGTGTTAATACCCACCAAGGCTGTGTAATATAATAGGTGGTAAATGAGTACCGTATTTCCCCATGTATAAGATGATCCCATGTAGAAGACGCACCTTAATTTTGGGGCCCGAAATTTGAAAAAAAAATGTGTTACATAAAGTTATTGAACTCAAGTTTTATTCATCATAAAATTCATAAAACTCCTTATCACTGTCAAAACTCCCAACCATTAGCTTGTCCTCATGTGTGTCTGATGACGAATCACTGACTTGCCTCTCATGACCTTCTTCTGCCGTGGCGTTTTCAGTAGGGTTTCTTTTTCCCATAGCCAGTCTCAGATTGTTTTCTCAGTTGGAGGAGGACCAAACACGTTCAGCAGCACGATTTCCATTCACTTTTGCAAACTGGATAACTTTTAACTTGAATTCAGCAGTGTACGAAACCTTTTCTGAGCCATTTCTGGGCAGAATGTGGCAAAACATAACCTACCATAATATTCCGGTAACAAGTGTGAAACAATGAGCGCAAAGACAACAAGCATGAAAAAGTGGGAAAAGCAAGTTAAAAAATCTACAACCACTATATAAGACGCACCCAGTTTTTAGACCCCAAAATTTTTGAAAAAGGGTGCGTCCTATACATGGGGCAATACGGTATTTCTTGAATGAATGTAAAAACATAGATAACTTTTGAGTTTTTAGTATATTATGTCTAGAGAATGCTTTATCCATAACTCAGTAATTGACATAATGCGTACTCAGTAATTACACATAGAAGGAATGAATTAAATGAACTACAGAGTGTAAATGGCTTTAGCAGAAGTGCTTCAGAGCATTCCAGTTAGGAGAAAGTCTGTCATTATGAAAAGGATAAATTATAGAATAATTTAAAAGTCTGTTGATCTATTTCTTACATAAATGCTTTAGAATAAATTTTGTGAGGAAGAATTAAAACCTAGAAAAAAATGACATTCAAATGGCATTTGCTGAACTCATTCTAAAGCTTAACATTATTCAATTAGTAATATCTGGATCATTCTAATATGTATATCATATAGTTATTTTAGAACCTCAATATTTTTTCTTGATCTACTTTACAAAATGGGTTGTATTGGGAGTTGGAGGGACTGAACCAGGTTAGAGCCCCAAATTCTGAGATTTCAAGCTGTGAATTGCATTTCTCTGTGGTCAATAACATTAATTCATGTGGTTTAGATCTGCACAGCATCCTAATTTTTAATCATAATGCAGTGGTCTTAAAACCCAAACTGTATTTATATGTTTTTATTAATATGATGCCAAGGTTTTTATTAATATGACATCAATTTGGTTTAAGGTGATGCTCTACAAACTGGGACAGTTGATAACATTTTATCCTAAGGTTAAGTTTGGTTTTAACTGATCTACCTAGTTTCTTCATTCAGTAATTTATTTAACAAGGGCCTGCAGTCTCTCCTGAATTTATTGTAAAGGATAATCTTCCAAATAACATTTATTTATTTGTAGTTAAATTGTATGTATGTATATATGTATATGTTTGATATAAATGTTTTTAGTGCAACATCATAGAGTATTTTATAGAATGTTAAATATAATGAGAACATGTATTTACATATAAACAAACCACTACTGGTTATATAAACCAGGCTGGTAAAGTCCACCTGAATTAGGACCATCGTTTTGACTTTTCCCGTCATGGTCTTCTTTAGAAAGTAATAGTCAGCATCTGTTTTCCAGCTATTTGATTATATTCATTTTCTCTTAATGTCGATGGTACAAATAATTATTGTAGATCTGCCCTTTTTAAGTGACTCAAAGCCTTTCCATCTGTCGAAAAGCTTGAAAAAATCTTAGAGATTGTTTTCACTTTCCAGTAACATCTACACAAGTTCATCCCTGTTTTAGTTTAAAACCTTTTTCCTACAATGAAGGAACTCAAACTTAACATGTAGAGATAGTGTTAGAATTGAACTTCTAATGCAGGTTAGCAAAATCTATCTAATCAAAATAAGAGTTAATGCTTCTATGAATCTAGTTTGTTTATTTTATTTTGAGTACATGATGATTTAAATAGCTGTATTTAGAACCATTTAACTTTCCACCTTTTTTATACTACTATGACAAAGTGGAGTTTTCCACGTAATTATAAATTTACTGGAAATAGCAAAACAGACACTGAATTTATAATGCACTATCATGTAAATTCTCTAGTAAGAAAGTAATGATTTTTTTTGAAGTTGGTTTATTTCATAAATCTTTGCAGTGTTAGGACACTTAATAATATAATTTATTATAGTAATATGTCAAAGAAGGAAAGAGTACCATTATCTTGATGGGTCAGAAACACCTGAAATTCAACACCTAGTGATTCAGAGAGACATTAGTGCACTGTGCTTTAGAGCTCAGGGTCAGAAATTATACTGCTTTTGGAAAATCCTTGGTAGTATGACCTTAGTTGAGCTTAGGTGTGATTCTCTGAGCCTCAGTTTCCTCATCTGTAATATGGTGTTAATAATCTTACTGGTCATGAGGGCTAAATGAGACAGCTCATGTTATACACAATGCTGTGCACATAGTAACACTGAATATTAGCTAACATTGCTATAATCGTTGCTTGGTTTTTAAATATATTTCAGTAAACCAAAGATCTTTTTATGCCTTGTGCTAATGAATCTGTTTTTGAAACCAATTGCAAACCTTCCCCTTAATAGGGAAATGCTAGAGACCTACCCTTTGGATAGGCTCTATCAGGATGCCTACTATTACTTATTTTATAGTGCATTAAGGAAAAAAGGAACCAAAAAAGAAATTTAGTTATTTGAACGGAGAAGACAAACTATTATTCACAAGATAAGATTATTTACCTAGAAAGCCTAAAAGAATCAACTAAAAAGTAATTAGAGCTAAAAGGAAAGTTTATTAAGTTTCTAAGAAAAAATTGATATACAGAAATCCATCCACATCTTTCTTTTTCTATGTATCTGCAGTAATCAATTATGTGCCCATACTATATGAAAAAGATGGTTTTCCTAGCAACAAAATATAAAATACCTTTAAATAAATTTTAACAAAGAATGTATGACATACATGTATGTGAAAAAATACAAGTTCCTCAATTAGAAAACTCATTATAAAATGTCAAGTCTTCTGTATTCATAAATTTAATGCAAATCCAATAAAAATTCCAGCTATACTTAGGGGAGGAAGTATTCAGAATATTTTTAAATTTAGATTTATCTGCAAGAATAAATGGATAGGACAAGGTAAACAAAAGAATAATAAAATGAACAGGAATTTGTTCTGGTAGACATTAAAATGCCACAAATCTAAATTGTCTAGATTACTTTCTTCTTTGTGTTTTCCCAAAATTACATGTCAATTTCATTTAAAAATTATGTGTAAAATCACATATATTTAAATTTTTTAATTTGACCCTGCATATCTGATAGGTCCTCTTTAAATGCTTAAAGTTTTTTTACAATTTATGTGGAGATAAATTCTGTGGAATAACTTTCATTAGCATTATTGCAGTAAAATTCATAGTTTTATAAGCTTGTATAGGTTTTTTGTATTAGTTCAATCTGCATCATTTGAAAGGTGTCTTCCATTTCTTGTGTTTATTGCTCTGAATATTAAGCAGTGATCTTCCACAGGCTAATTGTAATTTTGGAATCCTCAGAGATCTGACCTCTAATTCAGGCCAGACTTGAATTCACAGAATGGCTGGATAATCTGATGTTTGCCTGTTAAGATCTTTACTGCATGTGAAAACACTTGATTTTCCTAATGAGAGGAAAGAGAAGTTCTTTGTCCTTTTAAAGGGAAAAATTGTAATTGAATTTTTGAGGATTTTATTAGATCGTAGTGATGGTGCGTACACAGAAGATTTAGATTTACAGGGTTTCTTAACCTCTCTGTGGAGGTATTTTAGACCTTGATATTAGTGTATAGTCGGATCTGCCCCTGGATGGTGTGGGCTTGGTCCTTTCACACTTACTATTTTAATTTGGGGTTCTTCCCTTATTTTGATAACTTTAACTTCCGTAGGAAAATCAGTCGCCTATATGCCTTATGCTGAGGTCAGACGTGCTCTAGAACAGGAAGCACAGATGTACAATACCGCAGCAAGGTCAGCATCACCGTGTAGGCTCTCTCCGAGAGAAGTCAGTAAAGCCGCTCCACAGCCCGATATGAGTTCAGCCCGCTATAGTGTCCCGCCAGGTAAATATTGTTCCTCTGTGCTGTGGCTGCTGGCCATCTACCTACAGATGTTAGACATGGGTGGTTTAATCTCATGAATGAAGTACTCTTCTAGGACATGTCCTTGCTATTTCGAAATTCCTTTCTTGTTTTTATTCATTCCATCATCAGTTATATTCAGCTGAGATTCACTGGGCCACTGGGAAATTTGTGTTGACACATATATACTGTGACATTGAGTGGCTTTTCTCTTATGAATACATGTACTTTATAAGAATCTTGAGATCTCCACATCCCACCCCCACCCTTCCCAGAAATTCAAGTCTGAGACAGCCAGAGTCAGTAAATGTTTCTCTAATTATGGGAGATGCAGAGGACATATAATTGGTTGTCAGTCATGTCTGTAATTATCCAAAGTTTTAATATCAGCTATTCCTAAGAAGCACCCTTTTTTCCTCACCTCTATTGTGAGGTCCAAAGAGTGATGGAGAGACGGGAAAAATTATTAAAGATTGCCATTTGCATATGCTGAACAGAAATAGTTTGAAATGAGCATTAGCTTGAAAGCTCTGGTTTGACAGGGAGTTGAATATTTCAACCTCACAAATACCATTAGTGACCTGAATATGTATACAGGTTTAATTCAAGTGACAGAGAAATTTAAAATAGAAATGTTCGTCCTTGGCTTCACCTTGCACTTATAATTTAATTTGTGATTTAAAAATTCAGAAATGACTGAGGTAGGTAAAATGTTGCAGACTAAGAAATTATTTTAAATCATTTTTTTCTTCCTTTTAAAAGTCCTCCAGCCTGCTCCACATCAAGTGATAACTAATCTTCCCGAAGGGGTTCGCCTTCCAACAACTCGACCCACTAGGCCACCTCCTCCTCTCATCCCATCATCCAAAACCACAGTGGCTTCAGAAAAACCATCTTTTATTCTGGGAGGCTCCATCTCGCAGGTAAAATGGCTTCTCTTCCCAGTAGCTTTCCTGTTGAATATGGCTTTAGTAAAAGCTTTCTTCTGCAAACTAATTTGTCCTAATAAATAAAACTCTGTCTATATGTAAAGAGACAATGACCAGAAAATGCAGCAGTCACTGTACTCCATGCCACACACAGGAAGTTTCTGTGAGTTCTGTGCCCAGACTGAGTGACTGTGACGCACAGTCTGGTTTAACTTCCAAAAGGCACACATGTGCCTGAAGCTTAATGTAGTGTAACTGAAAAATGGAATATTTTCAAGTAGCTAGAATATTTGTTGACTGTTGTAAAGACTCTAAATATTGAATTGTAGATGATTGAGTTTATTCTGACTTGGCCTCTTTCTCTCTCTGGTGGGGCATTACTTTTTTTTTTTTTTTTTAAACAGGCCTGATTTGGTGGTTCAGTAAGTTTTGACTAGCATGCACAGCCAGTGACCCTGTTAGGTTCTAACATTTCCATCATTTCAGAATGTTTTCTCATGCCCCTTCCTAGACAGTCTCCTCTTCCACTGTCTGAACTAACCACTGTTCGGCTTTCTATTATCATAGATTACTTTTGCCTTTTTCAGAACTACATAAATGGAAGAGTGTGCACTCTTCAGTGTCATCACTTAGCATAATGGTTTTAGGGATTCATCCAGGTTTTTGTGTGATCAGTAGTTTCTTCCTTTTTATTGCTGAGTAATATTCTATTGTATGACTGAACTAGTTTGTTTATCCATTCTCTTGTTGATGAAAACCTGAGCTGTTTCTAGTTTATAGAAACTATAAATAAAACCGATGTGAACATTCTTGAACTGGGCTCTTTGTAGACATATGTTTTCATTTCTCTTGTATAATTCCCTGAGAGTGGAATTGCTGGTATATATGTATGTTTTACTTTATAATTTTCCAGAGTGGTTCTACAATTTTACAGTGTCCCCAGCAATGCCTGAGAGCCTTCCGGTTGCTCTATTTCTTATTGTCAGTCTTTTTTATTTTAGTCATTTTAGTGGGTGTGTAATATTTTTGTGGTTTTATTTTGCATTTTCCTGGAAACAAATGATGTTGAGCACTTTTTCATGTACTTACTGGCTATTTGTAAATCTGATTGTGAAGTGATTATTTAAGTCTTACTATTTATTTTTACTGGGTCTTTTTGTTATTAGGTTGTAGAAGTTCTTATTATGGATGAAAGTTCTCTGTTGGATATATGTATTAAAATATTTTTTCTGCTTGTGGCTTGAGTGTTTTATTTTGTTACTGTGTTTTAATGAGCAGAAGTTTTAAATTTTGATGAAATCCATGTAGTATAATTTTTTTCTGTTATGATTAGTTCTTTTCTCTTTAGAAATTTTTGCCTGCTCCAAGGTTGTGGAGATATTTTCCTGTGAAAGCTTTATAGTTTGGGCTTTTACATTCAGTCTATGGTCATGTCAGATTAATTTTGTGTACAGTATGAGGTCAGGATCAGCATTCATTTATCCATTTGGATTTGAGTTTCAGTAACATTGGTTGAAAAATCTTTTCTTTCTCCCATTTGATTGCTTTAGTGCCTTTGTCAAAAATGATTTGACTGTATATTTGTGTCTGTTTCTGGACTTGATTGTTACATTGATCTACTTACGCATCCTTTATATCAGCAGTACAGTCTTGATTACTGTAATATTATAGTAAGTCTTGAAATCATGTAGTATAAGTCCTGTGGTGCTTTTATTTTTCAAGATTGTTTATGTCTTTTGCATTTCCATATAAATTATTTAATTAGTTTGCCAATTTCTACAAAAAAATTCTGCTGGAATTTTGGTTGGAATTGCATTAAATCTGTAAGATAAGAATGAATATCTTAAGAATATTAAGTCTTCTAATCCATGAATATGTTTATCTTTCCATTCATTTAGGTCTTTAATTTCAGTAGTGTTTTATAGTTTTCACTGTAGAGGTTTTGTACATGTACTGTTAGGATTTTTAAAGATAATTTTATTTTTAATGTATTTTATGTCTTTATAAATGATATTTAAAAATTTTTCATATTTCAGTTATTGCTAATATATAGAAAAACAGGGTTTTTTTAAGCTGAGCCATCCTGCCACCTGTTGGCAGCTCAGTGGCTGCTCAGCTTGGGCCGGGAATTGAACCGCTGTTGCTCAGAGCTCAAACTCTTGAGCAAGCTCTTTGGCCGGCCCTCAACAGTTGATTTTTATATCTTGACTTTATTTCCTGAAGCATTCACTTACTGCTGCTTTTAGTAGGGTTTTTTTTGTTTTGCTTTTGGGTTTTTTGAGGTAGGTTTAGGATTTTTTTTTAAAGGTTTTATTGGGGAATTGGGGGTGGGGAACAGCATTGGGGAATCGGGGAGCAGACAAGTTGCTGTCCTTGCGTTCTTCAGTCTAGTTGTGGAGGACGTCACTTCACTGGCCCATGTTGTTGTTATCATTGCGCTCTTCCCGGCTGAGGCAGTCAGTCACCGGCCATTGGACAGCTGCTTATGGCGGCTCACGGCAGCTCACATCAGCTCAAACCAGCTGCCAGCCACTCACGGTAGCTTATGGCAGCCCACTGCAGCAGGGGCTGCAGCCTACACCATCGCCGGTGGTGACTTACGGCAGCCCAGCTCCAGGTTGAGCTGTTGGTCACCATCTTAGCTGCAGAGGGTGCAGCGCCACTGGTCCTCATGTGGGATCCGAACCGGGGCCCTACTGCTCAGAGCTGGCGTCCCAAGCCAACTCTTAACCAACGTGCCACTCGGCCGGCCCTCCTATAGCATTTTAAGAGGAGTAAATGTCATTAATAATGGTAGCTTATATTTTGAGTATACTGAAAGTGGCTTTATTTATGTAATTTGTTGATAATGAATACATGAAATTTTTGAAGACACCTTGTTCCCTTTTAAATCTTTTTAAATTTAAGCAATCTGTAACAAGAATTTTTTTCTTTGTTTATTAAAGTATAGTTGACATGTGTATTACATTACGTGCAGTTGTACAACATAGTGCTTTGACGTTTATATACCTTATGAAGTGATCACCATGATAAGTCTAGTAACTGCCTGTGACTGTGCAACGTTATTATGATATTATTGACTGTATTCCCTATGCTGTATATTATATTCCTGTGACTTACTTATTTTATAACTATAAGTTTATACCTCTCAATCCCCTTCACCTTTTTTGCCCATCTTCTGCCACCTTCCCCTGTGGCAAACATCAGTTTGTCTCTGTGAGACTTTTTCTGTTTTGTTTTGTTTGTTCATTTATTTTGTTTTTTAGATTCTACATATAAGTAAAACCATACAGTATTTGCCTTTCTCTGTCTGACTTAATTTACTTAGCATGATACTCTCTAAGTTCATCCATGTTGTCACAAATGGCAAGATTTTATTCTTTTTTATGGCTGAATAGTGTGATTCATCTATTGATGGACACCTAGGTTGTTTCCATATCTTGGCTGTGGTAATACTGCAGTGAACATAGGGATGCATACATCTTTTCAAATTAGTGTTTTCATTTTCTTTGGATAAATGCCCAGGAATGGAATTGCTGGCTCATAAGGTAGTTCTATTTTTCATTTTTTGAGGAACCTCCATACTGTTTCCCATAGTGGCTGCACCAATTTACATTCCATCCATAGTGCACAAGGGTTCCCTTTCGCCACATCTTCACTAACTTCTTGTCTTTTTGATAATAGCAATTCCAACAGGTTTTAGGTGTGATATCTCATTGTGGTTCTGATTTGCATTTCCCTGATGATTAGTGATGTTGAGCATCTTTTCATGTGTCTGTTGTCCATCCTGTCTTCTTTGGAAAAATGTCTGTTCAAATCCTCTGCCCGTTTTTTAATTGAGTTTTATGAGCTCTTTATATATTTTGGATATTAACCCCTTATTGGATGGATCATTTGCAAATATTTTCTCACATTAGTAGGTTGCCTTTTTGTTTTGTTGATAATTCCTTTGCTGTGTAAAAACCTTTTGGTTTGATGTAGTCCCATTTGTTTATTTTTGCTTTTGTTGCCTTTTTTGAGGAGGAATATCCAAAAAAAATATTGCTAAGACTGATGTCAAAGAATTTACTGCCTAGGTTTTCTTCCTGGAGTTTTATGGTTTCAGTCTTACATTTAAGTCTTTCATCCATTTTTAATTTTTTGTGTATATAGTGAAAGGAAGTAGTCCAGGTTAACATTTTTTTTGTATGCCTCTATCTGTCCATTTTTCCCAATACCATTTATTGAAGAGACTGTCTTTTTCCAATTGGATATTCCTGCCTTCTTTGACATAGATTAATTGGACATGTAAGTGTAGGTTAATTGACCATATAAGTCTAGATTAATTGACCATTTTTTAAGTTGACCATTTTATTAATTTTTATATTAGTTGGCATTTTATTAATTGACCATATAAGCATAGACTGACTGACCATATGAGGATTTTCTTGCTTTACAAGGACCTATTATTAACTTGGGGTATGGAGGTATAGATTTTTATAAATAGAAACATGAACATTAAATTTATAGTTGGCCTTGTGAAAAGACGATGTTATTTTAAGTCTTTTGAAATTATTTTTAGGGAACACCCGGCACTTATTTGACTTCTCATAATCAAGCTTCCTACACTCAAGAAGCAGCTAAGCCCTCTGTGGGCTCTATCTCTCTTGGACTGCCACGGCCACAGGAATCTGCCAAATCAGGTCAGTGAGTAAATACTCATAATGTTTCTGCAAAATTTGTAGCATCACAGTCAGTAATTCAACACTTGATGTTTCATATTTCTCTTGCTTTGATCCACCATAGCTACTGTGCCCTATATCAAGCAGGAAGAATTTTCTCCCCGAAGCCAAAACTCACAACCTGAGGGTTTATTGGTCAGGGCACAACATGAAGGAGTGGTCAGAGGTAAAATATGCTGTTTGGCAGAAATATTAAACTTTTGTCCCCAATAAATTTATTAAAGTAAGTTATTAATATGTTTTAACGGTGGGTATTTGCGTTAGAGCCTTTAAATTCTAAATTTAAATGTTCTTTCCATATAAAAATGACTTAAAAACTTTGAAATTCTGTATTTCAGCAGTCTTTTGTAACAACTGCAATATTATTTTAAAAGTAGATTTCAGTAAAACAAAAACTATTTTATTTTTGTGCTGCTGTTTTCCTTTTATTCTTATCCCTCTCCCAAGTAGGAGATGATTTTTTTCTTTGTCAGGGGTAGGGAGATGTAGTTTGCTAAAGATTTTGTTTTTATTCAGGTACTGCAGGAGCCATTCAAGAAGGAAGTATAACTCGGGGCACTCCAACCAGCAAAATTTCCGTGGAAAGCATCCCATCCCTACGGGGTTCTATCACTCAGGTTAGTTACAGTCATTCCTGATATACTGAAGAACAGCTAATGAGAGAACACTGGAGGTGAAGTCTCAAGAACTTTGGCTGTTCCAGCAATATAGGTTTATGATTAAGTTGTTCATTTTTCTGGGTTATGAGACACGGTCTCGGTGATGATAAATCCCAGATCCATAAACTGTCTGCATAAAGACATTAATGTGATTATTTTGACCACAAGCTGTATTATCTATATTAACCTATCATTTGAAAGGTCAATTATTTGAAAATTGGCAGAAGAAACAAGTTCTAATTGATGCAGATCTCACTGTCTTACTGGTAAAGCTTTTTCATGTGCTTAGCTTAAATAGAAGTTGAGAAGAAAATCATTATAAGCTATTTGCTTGCTTTTGCCCCTTGTGAAAGCAAAGGAAGGTCTGCAGTCTCAGTATGTAAGTGCCTTCTAAAATCTAGGAACTGCTAAACTAGGAAATACGAATGGCATTGACAAAAGCACCAAAAATCAAGCATCTTCTTCCGATTTTGGCTAAATAAATTGCCAATTTTAATTAATAAAAGGTCTTTCTTTTCCTCAGTTAGATGTTAATTTTAGTTTGAAATGTAAAACAGTCTTTAGCCTCTTTATTAATGTAGATCTGGGAAAGGAAAATTCTATTTCGGGAAATCATTATAAATAAAATCCTGTGCTTTTGCATGTTGTACCTTTCACAGGTTTTCTGTTCTATTCCTCTTTTTGGTCGTTAGTTCCAGTTCCCTAGGGTAGTGGTTGTTAAAGTGGTCCCTAGACCAGCAGCATTAGTGTCACCTGAGAAATTGTTAGACATATAAATGCTCAGGCCCCACCCCAGATATACTGAAGCCTCACCCATGGGGGCGGGGCCCAGCAATCTGGATTTTCCTGCCCTCCAGTGCCTCTGCTGTGTGGCTGTTTGAGAACCATGCCCTAGGACCTTGCTGACTAAGTGTAGTTGTGCTCCAGAGCATCAGCATCACCTGGAAGCATGTTAAAATAATGCAGAAATTTCAGTCCCCACTCCAGACCTGTTGAATCAGAATCTCCATTTTAACAAGATTCCCCAGTGAGTAATTCCTCCTTAAGACGTGGTTTATAGTATATGGCATATAGTGATCTAGAAAGTTACATATTAACTCTTCAGATTTCTCCTCCCACATTTGACCAAAGAAGTATATGTTTTCCTGAAATTAGTTTGCAGGATAAGCAATCATTTTAATATAGACAGAAGAAAAATAAATGGCCTGTGCATATTATTTTTTCTTCTTCATTTTTACTCTAGTATCTAAACTGTGGATAGGAAGACAGAATGCAGTAGAACAAATGAGGCTAGGCTTTATCTGATTATTTTCAAAGTAGTTTGTCCATATGACATGAGCACTTCTGAAGTGGGTATTGAGGATTTCCAGATATTTACTACTGAGCTTACTTAATGGCTGGATGAGTAAATGTATTGTTCTCGTCATTCTTCTTGCTGGAAGCATGTGGTTTCAGCTTGTCCTCTCTAGAATTTGGAAGACTCTAATGTGTGAGTGGGCTAGGTGTGGCATCCCACTTTCATTTCAAGCCAAGCAGCTCACTTGTACGAAGTATTCTACATACTAGGTTTCATGAATGATTTTCCTTGAAGGGAAGGGCTTACTGCTTAAAGGAAGGGTAAAAGAGTCATGGTCATAGACAACCCAGAAGAGGATTAATGATGGTGAAAATTCAGATGATAGGACCTAAACTGAATCCATATCAAAAAATGAAGAAGGCGTCTGTGTTTTTCTTCCCTTTCTCTTAATGATGATCATAGGTCTAACCCGGCAGACACTTTGGTAATTGAAAGTTCTTTTTTCCTCTTACACATTATGAGAGAAAGTTGTGGTATTCTAAATTTAAAACTTAATTTATTGTTTTATTAGAAATTTTGAAAAAGTTTTATTACATTTGCATGACAGGCCTTAAGACAAATATTTTACTGAGTTAAGTGCCTTCATATAGAGGCTTTTACTTAAGCTGCTTCAACTTATATACCTGTCAGCATTCTAAGAAGTTTTGTGTGTCAGGGTTCCAGGACAAAGATACAGTATTTCTGTTTATAAAAATTTAATGTCTGATTTCCTGTCATGTGCTTCTTTTTTATTCTTTGAAGATATGGGTTGATCTGACTCTCAGTGTGGTAGGTTAAATTTTCTGAATGTTTTGCATTTCCTCTAAACTTAAGTGACTCTGGTACTTGTGTTTTATTTGATGGCAGGGTACCCCAGCTCTGTCCCAGGCTGGCATACCAACTGAGGCTTTGGTGAAGGGATCCATTTCTAGAATACCCATTGAAGAAAACAGTCCTGAGAAAGGCAGAGAGGAAGCTGCATCCAAAGGCCATGTTATTTATGAAGGCAAAAGTGGACATATCTTATCTTATGATAGTAAGTATTACATCTTTATGCTGAAGCCAACACTATAACATGTGACTAAAAGCATGGACTCTGGTTCCCCCACATACTTGGCTTTAGGGAAGTTAGTTTTCCTTTTGTGATCCCAAATTTCCTCTCTGTAAAGGGAGTTAATAATAGTGCCTTTTCAGGAAACGTTTGTGATTAATGAACTGAGACAGTCAATGAAAAGTGATTAACAGCACAGAGCTTATAGTAAGTGTCCTGTAAGTGGTAGCTAACATCAGCTGTGGTCAGGTGATTTAGCCTAGGAAAAGCATCTTTGTTAGCTTTAATGGGATCACTTTATTTTAAATGGATTCCCATTTTATGAGGTTAGAATTCAGGAGTAGCTAATAGCCTGATAATCCTGGAAAGAGTACTGAATTTAAATTCTCTTTAAATATAACTATTTTAATGTCTATATGAAAACATTTCTTTAGATGTATTTTTGTTATATTTTCCCAGTAATATTATTTTATAAGGATGACTCAGTTATGGTATTAAAGCCAATTGATGAACTAAATTTAAGTTCTCATTTTTGACTGTTTTGTGACTGATCTGAGTAGTTATTAGTCATGCTTTGTCTTTCTCTTTGAATACAAAGAAATAAAGTATGAGTGCCTGATGCAAAATGCATAGTAATTTTCTTATTTCCATCCTTATTTTAACCTTTTGGCATATATTAGTTTACATTTTGTTTCTGGGGGAAGAAATTAATGTACATTGCCTAAGCCAGAAATCTCGATGTCATCTTTGACTCCTCCTTCTGAAGCTTTCCACATAGTCAGTCAATCACTAAGTTGTTTCTATTCTCCTTCTTAAAGTCCCTGGAATCCATCCATTTCTGTTTATTACCCACTGTTACTGTCATCTTTCATCTGGAGAACTTGGTAGCTGCCTAATGATCTCTCTGCCTTCAGTTTTAAACCATAATCAGAACTGTACATCTTGTCACTTCCTGCATGACCTGTATGTCATTGTTAAGCCCCTTACCTTGGCTCAGTCATCCCTCTATGATCTGCTTCCAGCTTGTCTCTTTCCACCTTTCCCCTTAGCCCTCTTGCACTTACTCTCCCTACACGCTTTGTCCCAGCTCCACCCTACACATTGGCTGTTAACTGAGTTTAAGCTCTTTTAAAGTACCATACTTGGTTTTGCCTCGGAGTCTTTGTGCTCATTGTTCCCTTAGCCTGTACCACCTCCTCCTCCCTTTACTTTGGACTTAAACAACTCTTGATTTATCCTACACTTCTTAGCGTAAACACTACTTTTTCTAGGCAGCCTTATCTGTACCTTTAAGTGTTAGATTTCCCTTCCAACATGCTCATAGCGCATTATCCTTCTCTTTTCATAGTACTTTGTACACTTTATTGTAATTGCCTATTAATTTATCTGTATCCATCACTATTGGGTAAGTTTAATTAGCAAAGGGACTTGATTTGTTAACCTTATCTGTAAGCCTACCTTATGCCTGGAACTCAATAAATATATTTGAATGAATGAAAAGATTTTTATAAATATCATCTATACAGATGTATCCTGTAGGTTAAACCTAGTTTTTATATTGTTATTTTTATAAGATAGATTATAAAATTATGATAACTACTGTACAATAGGCCTTGGGCTCTTCTGAGCAATTCTTGTTTCTATATTCTGCAGATATTAAGAATGCCCGAGAAGGGACAAGGAGTCCAAGAACAGCTCATGAAATCGGTTTAAAAAGAAGCTATGAATCAGTGGAAGGAAATATAAAGCAAGGGTTGTCAATGAGGGAGTCTCCTGTATCAGCACCATTAGAAGGTAAAACGTTTCCAGAATGTTATTTAGATACAGTTAACATTGTATAGTAAATTTGCATTGTTGGGTTAGGTTATATTTAGTCTGTTGTTTCTACCTGAAATTTATATTTCTATTAATATATAAATGAAACATTAATATGTATAACATATTAAATAGATAACATTAATATATGTTTAAATTTATATTCCTATCGACATATAAATCAAGTGGTGCATGGCTGTGGAGGGGAGTAAAAATTAAACATAATTGTTCACATCATAGGTAGCTATTAGAATGCTCATATAATTTGTAGATTATTCCTGTTTGAGTTTAAAAATGTAAAATTCGGGCCGGCCGAGTGGCTCAGTTGGTTAAGAGCTTGCTCAAGAGTGTGAGCTCTGAGCAACAGCGGTTTGAGTCCCAGCCCGAGCTGAGCAGCCGCTGAGCTGCCAACAGGTGGCAGGATGGCTCAGGTAATTAAAAAAAAAAAAGTAAAATTCATTATGACAACTTTGTATTTATTGTGAGGCAGATAAAGTAGTGTAATGGGTAGAACAAAGACGTATTTGAATCTGAGTTTCACCCTATCCTGGTGAATTTCTCTGTGCCTGTTTCTTCTGTAAATTAAGGGATTGTACCTACCATTGTGTGAGGATTAGAGACAGGTGTCCAACTTGTGCTGATCATGTGCTATGCCTTCAGTAATTGATAGTATGGTTTTGTTCTGTTAGTGACTCACTTTCTTTAAATCTTAACCTGCCTCAACTGTTTAATTTTAAGCTAGATGAAATACTAAAAACAGAGTAAGGACTCCTCAATCTTAAAAGTCTTATGTAATTTTCTAACAGCTGAATTTTCTCTGTATTAAAAAAAAAATCTCACTTCCCTTTACTTTAGGATAAAATTTATCAGCAATATAACGTGCAACTTCTTAAGAGGCTATTTACAACTCTTTCATTTTGATTTGTATGTTTGATCTATTTTTGAGGTATCTGTTTTTCATGTTTTCCATTTCTCACAGGTATATTTCAAAGCTGAATAATGATTTCCAGTCCCTTTGTATTTTCTCTCACCTTGATATAGAAGCATTGGGATTTTAGATTAAGCTTTGAAGTCTTTCTTTCCTTTATGACCTATAATGGATATCTTCTGTGGGCATTTTCTATGTAGGAAAACATTTCAAAAGGAATAAGTGATGTCATATTGGGTACTTCCAACTTTTATTGTTTCTGTGACATTCTTCTGAGTAGTTCATAAATTTAAAATGATTTCTCTTTCTCCATAGAGCTTTTATCAATATATTCTCTAAGGACAGTACAAAGTATATGTGAATTGATATGCACATTATGTTTAATGCTTGAATTGTTCTTGTTTTGAAAGGGCTTATATGCCGAGCATTACCCAGAGGGAGCCCTCATTCTGATCTCAAGGAAAGGACCGTGCTGTCTGGTTCGATAATGCAGGGTAAACTTTTTGTTGGTTTTGGTTTTTATTCATGACTGCCTCACGGGAAAAGTAGTTTGACATTAATTTGCAGTGCATGAAACGTGCTTTTCAAGCCATTTTTCCTTTTGAAATATTAGATATTTAAGGCTTGAGTATAAATCTTCTGTTTCTGAACTACATACTTTATTTGAAGATGATAGTTACCTAATCTTCAAGTATAGAGACATCTTCATTCTGTAAGAAACATTCTGTGATTGTGATGAATGATGTATTAAATCTTGAACAACCCTAAAAAATAATGAGTGAATATTTAAGGATCTGTTGTAAACAGAAAATTGATTATAAACTGCATGGTGGCAAAGCATTAATTTTTTAAATTGCGATAAAATATGTGTTAAAAAATTGACTATTTTAACAATTTTTAAGTGTATAGTTCAGTGTCGTTATGCAGCCGTTGGCATTATTTTAACAAGTATGTTTGTTGAATACTTTCTTGAAGGCACACCAAGAGCCACAACTGAAAGCTTTGAAGATGGCCTTAAATATCCCAAACAGATTAAAAGGGAGAGTCCTCCCATACGAGCATTTGAAGGTGCCATTACCAAAGGAAAACCATATGATGGCATTACCACCATCAAAGAAATGGGGCGTTCCATTCATGAGATTCCACGGCAAGATATTTTAACTCAGGAAAGCAGAAAAACTCCAGAAGTAGTCCAGAGCTCGAGGCCAATAATTGAGGGTTCCATCTCCCAGGTAACTAGATCATGCTTCTTTCTGTCAGCCATTCCACTTGAAACTGATATTTTTGGAGCATTTTTAAAAAGTACAACTTAATCATTATTAGTAATTCTTATGATGTCAGATCTCTGGGAAGTATATGTGAAAGTTTTATGTATGCTTTATCAGACAAAAAAGATTACTACAGCATGCTGTAATTGCCATGAGCCAGACATAGACCTGAGATGGAAAAATATTCAGATGCTTTGGGCTACCTGTAATGTTTGTTTTGTTCTTTTTAGGGTACACCAATAAAGTATGACAGCAACTCGGGTCAGTCTGCCATCAAACACAATGTCAAATCCTTAATCACGGGGTCAACCAAAGTATCCCGTGTAATGCCTCCACTAGAAATTGTGCCAGAGAACATAAAAGTGGTAGAACGGGGGAAATACGAGGATGTGAAAGCAGGCGAGCCAGTGCGTTCCCGGCACACCTCGGTGGTAAGCTCTGGCCCCTCAGTTCTTAGGTCAACACTTCATGAAGCTCCCAAAGCACAGCTGAGCCCGGGGATTTATGACGACGCCAGTGCCCGGCGCACACCTGTGAGTTATCAAAGCTCCATGTCCAGAGGCTCACCCATGATGAGCAGAGCTTCTGATGGTATGTTATTCTTGTATCCTGTCTGATCATTTTTAGGGTGCGTTTTCACATTGGGCAAGTAGAGAATGTTGAATTTTTAGCTTTACGTTGTCACAGAATCTGTAGATTGTGCTTGATGCTAGGCCTAGGGGGTGCTACCAAATTAAAAATAGACATAATTGTGGGTAAAATACCTAATATCTTAATCAAGTGCAGAGTATGATGGAGTCCAGAAATGCTAGAGTCTAGAATAAGCATATTCTTAGAGAGGTTTTTTTCAGCTAATTCTATAAGGATTTCTGGAAGCTAATTTTGACAGTTGTTTCTTCAGTGGCGGTCTGGTGTGGAAGTAGAAAGTTTAGGGTCTGGAGCAAGACTGTTTAAGCTTGAATTAAAGTTCTTCTTCTGCATGAACTTGGACAAGTGACATAAGTTTTCCATGCCTTAGTTTCCTCATCTATAAAATGGTAACCTAATATTAAGACCTACCTCACTGGATTGTTGTGAAGATAAAATGAGGTAATATGTTTAAAGGACTTTAAAAGAATAGTGCTTGATAAGTTTGAAGGACACAAAAAAATGTGAACTGTTGTTACTGGTGTGTATATCAGTAAGGTAAGACACATTGATTTTTATCAGGTGGTCCCTCAGAACAACCTGAGGCCCTTAAAAATTTATCCACTTATTTAAAATTTTACTGCAATACATATTTATTGAGGGCTCATTTGCAAGGTTCAGGGCTGGACACTGTGAGAGTTGTAAAGGTGAAGTGATTTAGGCGGTAGGAGAAGGAGTAGAGTGAAGGGAGGAGAAAAAGGAAGTACCTGCTTATGGGTAGGGTGGTGAGTCCCAAACCGTTTAGCTCTAGTTTTGAAGAATTGCCCTACAGAGGGAAAAGGCATTCCACCTTTGAGCAAGTTGGGTTTGGAAGGGGATGTAATAAACGAGTGTGATGTTTTGGGTTGTGACAGGCATATTTGTTTGATCATGATAAAATCGATATTATCAAAATATTAATAATTAGATGGTGGTGGTGGTTGTACAACATTATGAGTGTGTTACTGCTACTGAATGACACCCTTTAAAATGGCTAAAATGGTAAATTTTGTGTTCTGTGTATTTAGGGTGTTGAGACCCAGTTTCCAAAATGGTGTGGGAGGTGTTCCCTACACCAACAGACAATTCTCAGACATCAGTAGTGTCCAGGAATTCAAGTTAATTCCAACACTATCTACCCAGAGATAGCATCAGATTCCACAGGTTAAGGGTTCAGCCTACAAGGCTATGCACCCCCCTCTCCCTACCCCAATCCTGCCAAATTCAGATGCCAGTCAGGCTGTTAACTTGTGCTACTGACTGCAGATTGGAGATTCCAACGACACCCTCCAACACAGGATGCCTGTCGCAAGTCCAGATTGTTACCTGTACTTTTGATCAACTGGCTGTAAATCAGAGGTTCCCATGACCCCCTCCTTGGGTTTGATTAACTTACTAGAATTACTCATGGAGGTCAGAGAAACATGTTACTTATTAGATCACCAGTTGATTATAAAATGGATGTAACTCAAGAGCAGCCAGAGGGAGGAGATGCATAGGGCAAGGTATGGGGGAAGGTATGCCGAGCTTCCATGCCTCTCCAGGCGCCACTCTCCCAGCCACCTCCATTGCGCACCAACAAGGAAGCTCTCAGAACACAGTCCTTTTGGTTTTTCATGAAGGTTTCAGTATATAGGCATGGTTGATTATATCACTAGCTGTTGCCAGTTGAATTTACCTCCAACCTCTTTTCCCTTCCTGGAGTACAGGGTGTGAGACTGAAACTTCCAACCCTCTAATCACATGATTGATTCTCTTGGCAACCAACACACATCCTTAAGTCCAAAAGTCACCTCACTAACATAACAAAAGATGCCTTTGTCCCTCCCGACACTTAGGAAATTCCAAGGGTTTGGGGAGCTGTGAGTTAGGAACTGTGGATAAAGAAACAAACAGAGGGTGCCAAAAAAAAAAAAAAAAGTATGCACATTTTAAGAAAGGAAGAACTGTATTAAAATTGTAATACTCAATATATACCGATAACAAAAGACTTGTATACAAGTCATGTGTATACATTTTTTTGGCGCCCTCGGTATTTATTTCTTATAAATCACATATTACATGCATGTTTTACCACAATTATTAAAATAATTGAGTGTGTTGGCTAGTAAGCGTTTGGGTTTGATAGACATTGGTGGGAAGAGCTTACCTCTGAATAACATCATTTAGAAAAGAGGCTGGAGGAGGGAGGAGATTGATGTTGGTGAGGTAATGAGAGTTTCTTTGTGGAAGTACAAGCAAGGAAAAATAGTACAGTAGGCCCACCTATCAGCAGGGATACTTTGCAAGACCCCCAGTGGATGCCTGAAACCTCAGATAGTACTGAACCTTATAGATGCTCTGTTTTTTCCTGTACATACATACCTTTTCACTTAAAGGAAGCACTTTATCTTCTCTTTGGCATGTCCTAATTGCCAACATAACTAGCTACTCTTTGTGCTTTCGGGCCATTATTAAGTAAAATAAAGGTTACTTCAACAAAAACACTGCAGTATGGTAACAGTTGATCTGATAAGAGAAATGGCAAAATGACTAATGGACAGATAGCTTATACAGCGTGGAGAAGAGCCAGAGAGCACAGGAGTTCATCACACTGCTCAGAACACTGCACAATTTAAAACTTATGAATTGTTTATTTCTAGAATTTTCCACTTAATGTTTTCAGACTACAGTTGACCTAGGTAACTGAAGCTGCAGAATGCAAAAGAAAAAAGGTTGGGAGGACTACTATATAACTTAGTGACTAATGGGCAGCAAGGAGGCTGGGTAATGCAAGGAGAGGAAGTTGAGATTCATACATGTGAGATCAAAAGAATTAAGAATGCTGAAGTCATACAGAAAACAAAATCATTTTTAATGGGATTTAAAGAGGAGTGTTGAACTTCATTTCAATCTTAACATTAGGTGGTAAAACACTGGTGCTATGATCCAAAAGGTGATAATCTGCAAATCTCAAGATCTTTGGCTAGTTCTTCACATTTGCATATTTTACAAGATAAGATGTTAAATGTTTAGTGGACAGGGAAGAGCAAAATATTATATGACTATAGTCTGCATTTGAGTGGTTGAGAAATGGATAAATATCATACTTAGCAAGTTTTCTTAAGGATTTGTGGTATTGGCTCTTTTTTTTTCCAGCTACGATTTGTTCTGGCAAGTCTACCAATCATGAAAGAAAATCGACACTGACCCCTACCCAGAGGGAAAGCATACCAGCAAAGTCTCCAGTACCTGGTGTGGACCCTGTAGTAAGCCACAGTCCTTTTGATCCCCATCATAGGGGCAGCACCGCAGGAGAGGTTTATCGGAGCCATCTTCCCACACATTTGGATCCAGCCATGCCGTTTCACAGGGCTCTGGATCCCGGTAAGCACAGTGTATAGTGCTAATTTATGGCAAAGAAATAATATACCTGCATGACTTTTAAAACTTTCTATTTATTAAAGTATACAATATGCAGATAATTGCACATATCATTAGTATACAGGTCAGTGAATTTTCACAAACTGTACACCCACATGTTACCAGCATCCAAATCAGGAAACAGATATTACCAGTACTCCTTGAAGAATTAAAAATAATAGGTATATGAAAAGTCCTCTTATTTATGGCATTTGTTTAAGCTGATTAAAAAAGTGGCTTAATGTGAAGAATTATTTTTAAATGGCACAGGCATACCTTAAACATTTTAATTTACAACATAGGCATTCATTTACTAATGTTCTGATCTAAGGTCCACTGATTAAGCCTCACCATTGTCTTTCTTATATAAACAATGCTTACATTTCCAGGTTTGTTTTTTTACGTGAAGCTAGAATTTAGAGAACTTCAAATCAATCTAAATACAGAATCCTTCAAGATATTTTTCCTCCTGTCTTTTAAAATTGTCTAGTCCATGCCTGATTCAACTTCTGTATTGAGTCTTTCCAAAGTAGTCAACTTAATTTCCAAGAAACCACTCTTTTCATTCTTCTCTCATTGATTTACAGATCATTTCATTAAGTTACATAATTACAGTAGCAACTATAGCTAGAAGAAACTTTTGAACAGACACCACTGACTGAGTAAACAGAATTCTGGTAGGTGCAGAAGTGTGTAGGTTTTCTAGGGAGCAGTCTGCACTGGGCACAGTGCTGCCTGCCAAGGACAGGGCAACGTGCTCTGCAAAGGGAGAAGAGTCCTGTCAACACCATCAGCAGCAGGTCAGAGGAGGGAGGTCCGTCTCTGCTGGGCTGGCTGGCTGTCATGCCCCACCTGCTGTGTGGGTTCCACCGTGCCTTCCCAGGTCCCAGTCCCTGCTCCTCTTGCCCGTTCAGACTCACTCAAATGTATTTTCTGCTCATACCTTTTCTGCTTGCTTGTTATATCCTTCAAATTGAAATTCGGATACAGAACACTTGTATTTTATCTTGGTCTTTAAGGAAGTGATTTTCATTACCAGTATGCTAAGATTTCTAAGGGTTATTTACATTTCATAGTAGCAGGGTATGTGTAGAAAATATTTCATCTGAAAGTTGCATTGCTGCCATCAAATTGTTTGTTGAGAACATTAGGTTTCAGAGGAATCCATACCTAGTCCTTCAGAGACTGTCCAGAGCTGAGGTGGAAGTTCACACAGAGTCAGCTGACAGACTTACCTGGCTGGTTTTCTAGATGAAAGGGAAGCAAACATTCCAGAAAACTTGTCATTTATTGTTTTTTATATATATAAAATAATTCACTCAAGTTCTCAGACATAATTGAATGTTTATACTTTCATTTAGTTTTTATCATAGTCCTTTATTTTATAGCAGTTTTATTTGCTTGTCATTTTGGGGCTTTTGCTAGACTACAAATGTTTTGATGATAGGGACATTATCTTCTTTTTTTATTTTATTGTACCTACCTCTTCCTAGTATCTTGTGTCGTGCTCTAACCTAGGATTGCCAAACTGCTGCCTGGGGGCCAAATTCTGCTGCTGCCTGTAAATAAAGTTTTATTAGTGCATAGCCCCACCCATTTGTTTATACCTGTGGCTGCAGTGGCAGAGTTGAATAGATGTGACAGAGACCATATGGTCCACAAAGCCTAAAATATTTTCCATTTGGCCCTTTACAGAAAAAGTTTGTTAATCATGCTCTAAATACATGCACTGATTAAATGCTTATAGACTAATCATTTTCACCCCCCCAAGGAAGTAAAGTTGCTATTTGTCACAAAGCATTTTCACATCTATTTCCATCTGATTGTATTGGATAATCAGTACTACAAAAATAATTTTATTTTCAAATAGCTCTTGGAGACTTCAGGTGAAAATATAATAAAGTTGCACGACAGAAATTGAAAGTAAAACTGCTTGAGAGTTTTTTTTAGCTACTGTTCCACTGGTAAAAAGGTTAATAATACTCATATTTTGTCTACTTTCTGTTTTCCATTACTCTGACATTAAAATGTATGTATTAATATTGCTGATATATCAAGGTTGAAAATGAATCCAGCTTAATCCCTGTAGCCGCCCACCATGCTTAATAAAAGTTCCATGTGCACATTAACTCAACAGATTGTTTTTTTCCTTACTCTTTTTTGTGGGTGATATTTAGCCAGTGAATTTTACCCAGACTAAATGAAATGCCTTTCTCTTATTCTCTCAATCAGCAGCTGCTGCTTACCTGTTTCAGAGACAGCTTTCACCAACTCCAGGTTACCCAAGTCAATATCAGCTTTATGCAATGGAGAACACAAGACAGACAATCCTCAATGATTACATTACCTCACAGCAGATGCAAGTGAACTTGCGCCCAGATGTGGCCAGAGGACTCTCCCCACGAGAGCAGCAGCTGGGGCTCCCATACCCAGCAACAAGGGGTCTGTGTCTTTGCAGTTCATATTTCATAGAACTTACTATGTGTACCCAGGGTTTCCTAGGTACTCAATCAATATTTGTTGAATGAATGGCAGAAAGAAAGTAAAGAAGGCTGTATCATTCTTTCTATAGCCTTTAGCCCTTGAAGGCAAACAGAGTAATGTATTGAGACAGGGTGTTTTGGTGAACACTGAAATCATTGTGCTAGGTATTTGAAGTCATTGTGTTACCAGTTTGCTGTCTCTCTTTAAGGCCATGCTTTTAGGTTCTTGATATGGAGCAGAGTATTTCATATCCTTCTCTAGATTTAAAGAAGATCTTACAAAATAAAGATGATCTTACATTTTTATTTATACTGTATACAAAGTATCAGTGGGTTATAGAGATAAACAAAAAAAGCCATTTATAGTTCTGGATCTTTAGAATAACACTTACATTTAATACAATTTTATTCTATTTGTCTTTTGAGCAGGAATCATTGACCTGACCAATATGCCTCCAACAATTTTAGTGCCTCATCCTGGGGGAACAAGTACTCCTCCCATGGACAGAATCACTTATATTCCTGGTACACAGATTACTTTCCCTCCCAGGCCATACAACTCTGCTTCTATGTCTCCAGGTAAGGGTCCACAGTCACATACCTCTCTGATATGACCAACATACTCAAGTGTTTACAGCATAGCCTTTGAAGGTATTTTGGGCACTTTTTCCCCATTTGGTCTGCTGTTTTACATTTAATATTTAGTAATAGTCCCCATGTGCCATCTTTCACTGAATACTCTAGAAATATCCTAAAAGCTTGTCTTATACTCCTGTTGTCATCGAAGACTCTTAATAAAATGAACTTTCTACATCTCAAATTGGGAACTTCTTGAAAAATTTTCAGTTACTTAAGAATTTAAAAGTTGTTTGATGGGGCCAGCCGAGTGGCTCAGTTGGTTAAGAGCTCGCTCAAGAGTTTGAGCTCTGAGCAACAGTGGTTTGAGTCCCAGCCCGAGCTGAGCAGCCGCTGAGCTGCCAACAGGTGGCAGGATGGCTCAGCTAAAAAAAAAAAAAAAAAGTTGTTTGATGTATCTGATAGGTTGATATTTTTGTCTTTTAAGTTGCAGATTTCTGTGTTTTACAGGACACTCAACACACCTTGCAGCAGCTGCAAGTGCTGAAAGAGAACGGGAAAGAGAGCGGGAGAAGGAACGGGAACGGATTGCTGCGGCTTCCTCAGACCTCTACCTACGGCAAGGTGAGTGGATGGCTTTGTTTATTCTGTGGACATTTCTTAGTATGTAGTATGATGTAGTGCTTAATGTTGTGGGGAAGCCAGGTTGTTCTTACAAATAAGAATTATAAGAGAGAGTAATTACACGCCTTTAGTGAAGTGTACAGGTTAAAAGTGCTGTAGAAGTTAAAATGGTACAGATATGAATTTTAAGCAGGAAAATGAAGTTTTCATGATGAAGTTATCATTCTGATTTGGCCCCAACAATTGGCTACAGTTGGGACTGAAGATACTGGGTTCAGAGCTCACTGAAGCTGAAAACAGCCCAAGCAGAAGGCTCATAGACATGAAGACATGTGTTGTTGAGCTGGAATTTAAAAGAAGAATGGAAAATATGGTTAGAAGGTTATGCGACATTTTGAATGATAAGTGAAGTGCTGCCCTTTGTTGTAGGAGGTAGGTGACATGATCAGAGGGACATTTACACAAGAGTGGCATGAGACGGATTAGAACCCTGAAGGTAGGCATGGGCTGGTGCCAGAACAGTTAAGCCGTGTTGGTAGTTCATGATGGCCTAGGATAGGATGACACTGGGAATGGCTAGAAAGGAACTGCTTGGAAGAATATTGTTAAAGTGGCTCAAAAGGACTTATATGCAAAGGACTATTAAAAGGACTTAAAAGTTATTAAAAGAACTTCATAACTAGATATGCAGAGTGAGGAAGAGATGAGAAACAAGATTGTCTGCACTTAAGATAGAGCAGGATTAGTGAAAGCAAAGAGTGATTTTTATTTTGGACATACTTAATCTGAAGTGTCTTTGAACATTTGTTCTTATTCATGGTATACTTGTCTTTTTATATTGTTTCCGTCAGTGAATCATTTACCATGTCCATATTGTCAGACATACAAATCTGGCAGTTAGGAGAACAGACAGAACTTGGAGATTATGACTTAGGAGTCATCTGCAAGAGTTAAAACTCTGACTTGACTGAGATTTCCAAGGGGCAAGCATATGAAGAGAGGACTATATCAGCCCTTAGATGTTACTGGGAAGGATGTTATAGGTGGAGGCAAAAGAGCCAGAGATGGGGTCAGAGAGGTTGGTGCAGAACTGAAGGGCACAGTATGAGGAGGTTATCACATTTATATGGTCATAGGAGACAAACTCTTTGAAATCAAAGTGATGGCACTATAGAGAAGGAGCCTAAAAGCTAGCCATCATATTTGACCTAGTAATATCATTCCTGAGGATTTATCTTAAACAGTTCAGTGACTGCAAAGCGTAAAGATATTTAGATGTAACATTGTCTACATGTAGGAAAAAATCACACCGTGTCTAATGATAGGAAACAATGAATTGTGAGGTAGCACTATAATATTGATTGTATAAAAATATGGAAGTTGATTTAATTAAAACCATGTACAAGTGATAACTTTGATAGGAACTATATTTTGAAAATGCTTGTGGTCCCACTGATGAATAACATGCAGATTTAACACAATAAAATACCATTTTTTCTCCATCAGATATTTAGAAGGTTGATATACACTCTGTGTTGGAGTGTCTGAAGAAACATTAACTCGCTTACATTGTCAATGGCAGTGTAAATGGGGAGAGCCTTTTCAGAGAGATACAAATTTAAATAACAGTTCCATTTCTAGGATTATACCCTGTAGAAATATTCCTATAAGCTGATGTATGGTCAGAAAGGAGAAAATTGCTGAAGGATGCCCTGGGTGGTACCTGCTAAAAGAATATAGGTTTATGTATACTAAAACTGCTAGCTCTTATGAGGGCAAAGAACAAGTTAGAAAGTCAGAGAGAGGGCATAGAACAAGAGGGGGTAGAGAAGAAAATGACTAAAGAGGAAATTTGAGATCTTCCAAGTAAAGTAGTTTTGACCAAGTCCAAGTTGTGGCTTTGTTACGAGAGAGCTGAGGTTAAGTGAAGAAAAAGTGTCTCAAATATTAAAGAAGTGTAGTTAGTGGAGCTGCACTTTTGCAAAGGGCAGTGTGAATGATTTCATGTCAGAAGAAAGCTTGCTGAGAGAAAAGTTACCTGTGGAGGGCAGGGCAGGAGAGGAGTAGAGCAGGAAGGACTGTGGTGAATGAGACAGCCTCAAACCCTGGGGTCGCAGTAGTAAATTATCTTCATTATTATCCTTAGCAAGTTGTACCGAATTTGATTTTGGAAATGATAAGCACACCAGAATTTGAGGAAAAATCTGGGAGATAAACTTATCTTGTTTGCATTAATACTTCATTATTGGTGTTATTTTTGTTTTTTGTCTGGAATCAAGACAGAAATTTGTCACAAAAATGGGAATGACAGTAAATGATAACGTGTTTTTGTTTCAAGTTAGTGGTGTGGTTTTCTTGCATCTTTATTAACACATTGTTTGTGGGAAACGAGTAAACTTGTCGTATAGAGAAAAATGCCCGCTTACAAAGTGTTAAGAAACTCTTACAGAAAATATTTCTATAAAGACCAGAAAGTAGAATATCAGGTTTCTTGTCTCATTTTCCTTTTTTCTATTTAGGAATATTAGGAAATCAACAATCCCTAAGTGTTGCTGTCTCTAGCTTCTTCCTTATGGATTGTCTCTCCCCCCCCCCCCCCCCTTCTGTAGGCTCAGAACAGCCTGGTCGACCTGGCAGTCATGGATATGTTCGCTCCCCATCCCCTTCAGTAAGAGTTCAGGAGACCATGTTGCCCCAAAGACCCAGCGTTTTCCAGGGAACCAATGGAACCAGTGTAATTACACCTTTGGATCCAAGTGCTCAGCTACGAATCATGTAAGTCTATTGTATACATTTTGACAAAAATAATACAAGTCTCCTGCATACACACCGTTTAGTTTGTGATTGCAGTAGTTTTAGTAATCATTTACTACCCACTCAACATTTTCTTGTTGTTGCCATTTGTCCTTTCATCTCCCCACCACACCCCAAAGTACAGTCTCCCCTTCACGGAGCTGTGGTTTGTTTTATTTACAGGCCGCTGCCTGCTGGGGGCCCTTCAATAAGCCAAGGCCTGCCAGCCTCGCGTTACAACACGGCTGCAGATGCCCTGGCTGCTCTTGTGGATGCCGCAGCTTCTGCTCCCCAGATGGATGTTTCCAAAACAAAAGAGAGTAAGCATGAAGCTGCCAGGTTAGAAGAAAATTTGAGAAGCAGGTCAGCAGCAGTTAGTGAACAGCAGCAGCTAGAGCAGAAAACCCTGGAGGTGGAGAAGAGATCTGTTCAGTGTCTGTACACTTCTTCAGCCTTTCCAAGTGGCAAGCCCCAGCCTCATTCTTCAGTAGTTTATTCTGAGGCTGGGAAAGATAAAGGGCCTCCTCCAAAATCCAGATATGAGGAAGAGCTAAGGACCCGAGGGAAGACTACCATTACTGCAGCTAACTTCATAGACGTGATCATCACCCGGCAAATTGCCTCGGACAAGGATGCAAGGGAACGTGGCTCTCAAAGTTCAGACTCTTCTAGTAGCTGTATGTATCTCACTCTGAGTTTCGCAATGTGATATCTGAGTAAAGAATTACTTTATTCTTTAGGAAAAGCAGAACAATATAGTATAAAGAAAATCCTAATCTTCATAGTAAATGTAATAGAAGGGTTTTGTGGGTTAGTAGTGCAAAAATGTCTCTTCTATTTTTTATGATTTAAATATCAGAGTTTCTTATGTATACCTATGAAGGTATTTTCCATGAGAAAACTATGCTCTTTATAGAGTTAAAGTTGTAAATAGATAGATAGAGGGCAGAGCTTATTGACATTCCCAGGCATCTGGAAGGTGACGGATGTATCATCAAGCTCTCGGTTGTGGAAGCCTGATTTCTCAAGCAGTGTTTTCTGGGATATGATTCAGTATTTAGGCCAATATCCCAAAGCCTCTTACATCCTTCTTCTAAGGTATAGAGTTTTTAAAAGTGAGACCACCTTATTGTTGGTAATTGGTATTTACATCGAACCTTTCTTGTAAGTTGGATTTTGATCAAGTCCAGTTAGTCATTTGATGTCTACCCTGTGGGTCTCTATCAATTCACAAATCTACAGTAAAATGCTAGAAAAGTTACTTTAAATTTATTTTTAACTATTGCCTAAATTTTGTATCGAATTCCTGAAGGAACAAGCAGGTATTCAAATAAAGTATCTGCTAATTTGGGAAGCAATTTAACCATCCGTAGCCATCTCTCTATTGTTTTCATTAATGAAATTGAGTTGGAGATAATGAAAAAATGATTTCTGGTGTACCAGCATGCTATGTGCAATTCTTTTTACCTCCATGCCTGGATTTAATTTGTTTCGGGATAAATATCTCCCCCATTGTTGAGGTTTTTGGAGAGATGGGGGCAGCTTCATAGTTGTGTAGACAGATTTACTTTAGCCTGGACAAGAAAATCTGCAAAATAGGTATTATACATGCAGAAATTGCTAGTTGAGGAAGAGCCATAGTTATTATATAAATAGGCCCTTTGGAGGGAAGTCACCAGCACACATGGTGACCCAGCCTGTGGTTATGGAATGCTGTAGCACGTGGTTCCCTAATCACTGGGTAACACTTTCAGTTTTGTGTTACAAACCAAGTTTTGCTCTAGGAGTTTGACTTTTAGAAGGTCTGAAAATAGGAAGTCTGGCTTCTTTACTGAGTGTTCATGTTTCTGAGTGTGGATATATTTTTTTCCATCATTGGGTAAATTACTTGCATGCCCACAAGCTTATTGCAGTCATTCAGTGTGGTTTTCAGTTTTTATCTTCAGAGCCTCCCTCCCCCCCGAAGCTGAAGCACAGAGCCTTCACCTTACCCTTAAGGCTTCAAGAGCAGTGTGAACACAGTTTAGCCTCAGACTTTCCATTGACTCCATAGTGGATGTGGTAAGCAGACTTAGGATGTTGCGTGATGAGTACCAGCAGATACAGAGGTTGCAAAGTAGTATAAATTACTTTGAGTATAGTGATTCATTGTAGTTCCCCAAAGATAATTTCCATCCCAATTATCAGGTTTCTATTCTCCTGAGCATACTGGAGCCTAGGGAACTGCAACTTCCATGTTCTGGAGAGAGGTAGGAGGAAAGGGCTGTGCAGCTGAGTCCTGGTGGAACAGGTGGTGGCCTGGTAGTAGAGCTCATTGCCATCTCTGTAGCTGTGTCCAGGACCACACAGACAGATCGCACTACCTGATCCAGCCAGGGTCATGTACCCTTTTGGGCCTCTGACAGTTTCCTCAGGTTCTTTGGTGCAGCCTGTTGATACAAAGAACACTAAAGTCAGAAGGTTCCTGAGTAGGAGGTTCCATCTGCCTCTGTCCCATTCTGAGCTCTGAGGCCATAGCAGGACTGTGAAAAGACCTCTACTGCATAGGCCATCAGTTACCTTAGGAACTGCATCTAAGAGGGGCTCTTCTCTGATGTGGGCATCCTCCCTTTCTGCCAACGAAGAGAATTTGCTTCCCTTCAGACATTCCCTACTATTTCTGTCTGTTTTCACAGTGTAATACGGTGCTAAAAAAGTTGTTTGGAATAATTTTTGTCAGCAATACTACAATGATTTGAGAAAATAATTACATGTTAATCTATAACTTTAAAATCATCATGATAATGAAGCAGCTTTGTAGCCTCAAAGTTTTTCTAAGAGCTCACTATCCCACAGAATTGAAATTATTGGAAACAATGAACTGTTGAGATCTCTCCTCATTTGTTAAATTTGTTCTGATGAATGTTTATTTCCTGGTGATTTTCTTTTCCAGCTCCCAGGAGAATGTCGCAAATCTGTTTTCTATTCTGCCTTGCCTAAAGGTCTTAGAGCCCACAAAATTCCAGAAAACTCTGTATCCTATCAAGATTAGGAATACCGAGGAAGCACTTATGGATCTTTAATACCAGTTCATTGAGCTTTTTTTTTTTTTTTAATCATTAACCTGGTTGCCATGGAACATTTTTGAGAATAAAAAATGAAAATATGTAAATAGGTTTGAAGATCTTGGATTTTTTAAACTTTTCATAGGATTAGTTTTAAAATAAGACTATTTTCTTTTCTTAAAGTATCTTCTCATCGGTATGAAACACCTAGCGATGCTATTGAGGTGATAAGCCCTGCCAGTTCACCTGCACCACCCCAGGAGAAACTACAAGCCTACCAACCAGAGGTTGTTAAGGCAAATCAAGCAGAAAGTATGTCTTCTTTAGACGCCAGTTCACGTTTTCATATTTGCATTTATCATTTGCTTCTAATTATCTGTCCAGACCACATTAAGAAATAACTTATTTTATTAGTTTTGTTTTAGAGTAATCTGTACTAATGAAAAGCTTTTAAAGCTATTATTTGATGACTCATTTGTTTATATTTTAATGATATAGAAAATAGTTGATATTGTTTTACCCACTTATTGATTCTAAATTTTATTCTATGCTAGTCCTCTGATTTCTTTATTTATTCAGTAAATAAATATTTTTTCTTCAAAATTAAGATAGAATTCTATTCAGAGATATGTACCACATCCCTTTCATGTGTTCCCCTGAATTGTGTTTAATCTTTGATAATGAGTGAAAGGAGGGGCATCTCTGGAGTAAGACATCTATCTTTCCTCTAATAGATGAAGCCACCAGACAGTACGAAGGACCATTACATCACTTCCGACCACAGCAGGAATCACCGTCTCCACAACAGCAGCTGCCGCCTTCTTCACAGGCCGAGGGCGTGGGGCAGGTGCCCCGGACCCACCGACTGATCACACTTGCTGATCATATCTGTGTAAGTTTTTCATTATTCTTATTAATTTTTCTTTTTTTAAAATCATGCAGAAGGCACATTTCACATAGAATCACAATAAAGATGTCTTGGTTTTTTTATGCTACATTTTTTGCAAGTACTCAATGGGTTTAACCAATTCCTTCTTTTCTCATTTACAGCAAATTATCACACAAGATTTTGCTAGAAATCAAGTTTCCTCACAGCCTCCCCAGCAGCCTCCCACTTCAACATTCCAAAATTCACCATCTGCTTTGGTGTCTACACCTGTGAGGACTAAAACATCAAATCGTTACAGCCCAGAATCCCAGTCTCAATCTGTCCACCATCAGAGACCAGGTTCAAGGGTCTCTCCAGAAAATCTTGTGGACAAATCCAGGGGAAGGTATGGTGTTTATTTGAAATCATATGTAAATTTACCAACAGTAAAACAATTTGAATATATCTACAAGATAGGGGATTTATTTCTTACATCCGAAGTTTATTTACCTTAATTTCCTGGAAAGTGTAAATGAAGATTTTTCCTCATTTATTCTTGGAACGTCCACAGTCTGGGCAATTAATACTATATCTTTAATATGTATTCAAAATTTGATTGCTGCTACTTCGGTTTGTGGGTTTGCAAAGGCGGTAATGAAGAATGTGTAGTTTGGTAGTAGTTTAGGGACACTTTGAGTGGTCCTTCAGAATCATAAAAATGTTTTTCTCTCTCAGTGGTTTCTATTGGGTCAGCAGTAGATGTTTAAGGAAGCTGACATTAAATAATGAAAATGAGGCCAATAGAGGCACCATAAAGGGAAACACATTTTATATCACAGGGCCATTTGGTAAAGAGCATATCTTCTTATCAATATTTTTAGTACATGCAGACCCAGGGAAAGGTCTTGGGACCGAAAATCTACCTCCATAGTGGAGAACAGAGAAACTTACATACAAAGCATGTCTTGGGCTTCTGCAAGACGAAATGGATTCCTGCACTGCTTGGCAGGTGCCAAAGAATTACCTAGGTTAAAGGGGGTTATAGTCACCGGTAAATGATACGTGAATGCTACCAGGTACGGGAAATTACTTTACATGCTTGACCAGGTCAGGACAACAGCCTGTTCCACAAACCAGCACATAGTAGGAAGTAAGGGTGGGGTATTGGTTTATGTCAGAACAAACGTCAGTTATAAACAGAAAGTCTCTAAGGGGGGTTTGTGGAAAGCAGTCTCCCCCTCTGGTTCAGGCCCAGCTCACAGGTCAGGCAGTGGTCATGTTTAGGACCATCTCTCTCCTCCACACTCCACCCCTCGTGACTGGCTCTTAAAACTATCTCACATGCCCTCCTCTTCTCCAGTGTACCCTGAGTGGTCAGCCCGGGGCTTCATTAGCATGGAGGTAGCTTGTTTAGGCACCGATTGGACACATTGGCCACATTAGCCCACAGCAACAATATAGGCACATACAAGAAAACTAATATTAGTAACAGTTTTTCTGCCGTGCCCCCCAAGACCCAAACCAGTGTGGTAACAGGTCACCTAGACTTGGGGCCGGGTCACTTACAGCATTCACTTGGTGTTTATGTCTGTGTTGGTAAAGAGGAGATATTGGCAGACTCATCTGGTATAAAAACACAACATTCAGTTTGGATGATGGCACAGGTACTACCCTGTAGCTGGATGCTACAGAAATCGCAGAAGTCTAAGGTCAGAAAGATACATATTTAGTGGGAACTTGAATTGAGAGGTCTTCTTCTTCTATGAGAATTACACCTGTACCCTGGTCTTTGGATGTTAATGTGGCCCCAGCCTTGGGAACCTGGCCAGGCTGTGCAAACCATACATATTGGCCAGGGTAGGTAGTGCTTTCTGGTGTAAGGAGGTGAATAGAAGGGGGAATATGCCTGACCAGGACCCCTATAATTGCCCCTCTTTTTTTTTTTTAGATTTTTATTAACATACAGCTAACATATGATATTGTATTAGTTTCAGATATAAACCATAGTTATTCATCATTTATATACCTAAAGAAGCGATCACCATGATAAGTTCAGCAACCATATGACCATAGCACGCTATCACAACATTATTGACTGTATTCCCCATGCTGTACATTACATCCCCACGACTTGTTTCATACCTGGAAATCTGAACCTCTTATTCCCTTGCACCTTTCCCCCTGCTTTTTTAATTTTTCAATTTTAGTTGACATTTAGTATTATTTTATATTAATTTCAGGTGTACAACATTGTGGTTAGACATTTGTATAATTTAAGAAGTGATCCCCCTGACTAGTCTAGTACCCACCTGGCACTATGTAGTCATTACCACATTATGGACTATATTCCCCCATGCTATACCCTGCATCCCCGTGACTACTTTGTAACTACCAATTTGTACTTCTTAATGCATTCACCTTTTTCACCCTGTCCCCTTAGCCCCCCTCCCATCTATCACCCCGATAAATCTAGTACCCATCTGACACCATATGTAGTTATTACAATATTATTGACTATATATATATTTTTTTTTTAAGATTTTTATTGGGGAATTGGGGGGATGGGAACAGTGCTGGGGAATTGGGGGAGGAAGCACAGACAAATTGCTGTCCTTTTGTTCTTCAGTCTAGTTGTGGAGGATGTTGCTTCACTGGCCCAAGTTGGCACCATCATTGCGCTCTTCCCGGGCGAGGCAGATCAGTCGCCGGCTTCTGGACAGCCGCTCACTGCGGTTGCTGGCCGCTCACGCTGGCTGCTGGGTACACACGGTAGCCCATGGCAACCCACTGCAGCAGGGGCTGCAGCCTACACCGTCACCCGGCGACTCACGGTAGCCCAGCTCCAGGTTGAGCTGTTGTTCAGCATCTTAGCTGTAGAGGGCAGTGTCACTGGCCCTCATATGTGGGATCCGAACCGGGGCCCTCTGGCGTCCCAAGCCAGCTCTTAACCATCGCGCTACTCGGCCGGCCCTTGACTATATTCTTGGTGCTATACCCTACATCCCCATGACTACTTTGTAACAACCAATTTGTACTTCTTAATCCCTTCCCCTTTTCGCCCATTCCCAACTCTCTCCTCTCTTAATGGTGCATGTCCCAATCCATATATAGTTTGTCTCCACAGGTCCTGATTGCATTAAAATAACAGGATACCACCAGAAGTTGATGAATTTCTCCCCACCCATGGGTGTGAAGTAACTGACCCACCTCTGTGGGATGTCCCATTGCAGATTCTAGTAAATGGCCCTCTTCCCAGGGACAATAGGACTCAGTGCCCTCAGTATCATAGTTCAGTGATCTGTGGCAAACATTGTGACTATCGCTGTGTCCCTTGTCTTCCACACTTTTACTGTGTTGGGTTTCTCAGCCTGAGTTCCTGGCATATGGGGCAATAGGCCCCATGGGTTGGTCATTTAAATGTATTAACGCCTGGAAAGGGTCTTCGTTACCTTTGTCCACCAGCCAAAGTAGATTTTCCAGTTAGTAACTTTATCTGTTGTTTAAGGATACCGTTTTTTGGGGGGTTTTTTTTTGTTTTGTTTTTTAATTTTCATCCCACCTATCTGGCTGCCTGTGGGTTTTATGGGAGGTGGAATCGCCTTTCAATATTGTATTCTTCTGCCCATTCTGATATATCATGTTCTTTGAAGTGTGACCCCTGGTCACTATCTAGTCCAGAGGTTCTCAACCATTCACAGGGGTCGCCTAAGACCATTGGAAAACACATATTTTTGATGGTCTTAGGAACCGAGACACCGCTCCTCTATCCGTCTCCAGGCCCACATGCAGATACACGCTCACATACGAGTACCCAGCGACCCCTGTGAAAGGGTCGTTCGACCCCCAAAGGGGTTGCGACCCACAGGTTGAGAACCACTGATCTAGTCAATGGGCGTGCCCATACATAGTATTTAACTTCTAGTTCCTTTATAATGGCAGCTTGATTGCTTGCTCAGATGGGAAGGCCTGAATTAAACCAGAGTTTGTGTCGACACACATCAGAGCATATTTGGAGCCTTTACCCAGGGGAGAGGGCCTGTGTGGTCAAAATTTGCTGGTCGGTCCCTTACCCATTGGTGGATGGCCCCCGATTCTTGTGGCTGTTGTCTAGGGTGTTGTTTGGAACAGACAGGACAGGGTGCAGCTGCATTAACTAGATCACTGTATGTTAAAGGCAGCCCTGTCTCCTTAGATATGTGCCATTCTATTTGGGCACTATAGTGCCCACTCTTCCAGTGTACCCAATCTGAGGGGTCACTTGCTAAAGTGTATTTTTTTTGCCAAGGCATCTTCTTCCTGGTTACCCAGAGGTGTGGATGCCTTGTGGGCAGGGACATGGAAAACAACGAGGTCTGCCTCGGGCTCTTACAGATGAGCCCAAATACCTCTCCATATCTCTTGTCCCCATAATGGTTTGTTCATAATCATCCACCCCTCCTTTTCCCATTGTCCAAGCCATAGATTCAATCCTTTTAAAATGGCTCAACTGTCAGTACATAGGATTAGCAGCCAAGGTTCATGTGTGATTACTAACCAGACAGCTCTTACCTGAGCCCACTGGCTACTGTGGTTTGTTCCTTTTACCATCCAGATAGTATCAGTGGATGGTTGGTTGGCAACTGTCATCCAAGTAGGTTGTTTATCCTAACTAGAACCATGGGTATGTCAGGGTCTGGCTGAGATTTCTTTTATTCCCATTTTACAGTTGCAGGGGCCAACATGAGAATAGGACCAGGAGCATTTGAGGGGTCTGTATGTATTCATCGGGGCCTAATAGTTATTGCATCTCTAAAGACGGGGCTATTTGACAGGATACTCCTCTGCTGTAACAGGCACATCGTGTAGTCAGTGTAGGTGTCTGAGCCGTGGCAGAGGCAGGTCAGTGGAATATACTGTCGTTCTACCCTTTTTGGGGAAGGGAAGCCCTCACTATAACCATCTGTTCTTAGTAAGAGGTTCCACCTGCAGGAGCACTATATCAGCTGCTAGAAGTTGCTGTTCTTTCAGGATAACCTGATCTCTGACCCCTTCCTAAGTTGAGACGAGAGCCCAAAGGGCACTCTCTCCTTTGCTGTTTTTGCCATAATGCCCATCCCACACCTTCCATGGTAACTAAAACATCTAATTCAAATGGCAACCTTGCCTGTGAGATTCCAAGAGCTTTAATCTGTTTGACCAGTATTTTTGCTTTCCTAAAGGCAGCCTGTTGTTTTGTTCCCCAGTCCCATATATGTCCCTTTTTAAGTAGGCAATATAATGGGTGAAGACATTGTGCCAAATAGGATATAAATATTCACCAATACCCCAGAATCCTCACAAAAGCCTGTATCTGTTTCACAATTTTTGGTATAGGGTAGGCTTGTATTTTGTCTGTGACTACCTCAGAGACAAATGTAGATCTGTGGATCTTACCCGACCATACCACTCCCAAGAACTTTACTCCCGTGCTTGGACCTTGAAATTTCTGTGGAGTCACTGCCCATCCTCTCTGTATAGGTGGTCCAGCAAAGCCTGTAAGGTTTTCTGCAGCAGTGGCAAATCTTCACAGGTTACCACTATGTCATCAGTGAAATGGGCCCATGTCACTGGGGTTGGGAAAGAAAACTTTGACACATCCCGACCATTCCATGGCATATGGTGGGGCTGTGTAGATAGCCTTGAGGAAGCACTTGGAAGGTCAATTGCTGCCCCTCCTGAGTAAAGGTAAATTGATCTTGGGACTCGGCAGCCATGAATATGCCAAAGAAGGCATTGGCCAGGTCCAGCCCAGCCAGTGTTTCTATGACCATAGCCAACTTACCTAATAGTGGCAGTATTAGGCATCCACATGAAAAAGGGCACTACCCTGTTTCGCTCTGAATCATCTACTGTCCATTCATTATTCAAGAGCCATCTGGCTTTTTTCCTGGCCACACTGGATTGTTCCAGGCACCGTGTGCAGAGCACACAATGCCCACACAGTGGAGCTCTTGGGTAGCTTTCCTTTTTCCTGTGTCTTCCCAAGAACTCTGTGGTGGTGGTAAACTAACTGGCTCCTTGTTGGCCTTGCCTCTTAGTACTGATTTGATTACTTGTACTCTGAGGCGAAATCCCCGATAGAGGTTTGTAAAGGTGCTGGCCTTGCAAGATGTCCATGCCCAGTATGTTTTCAGAATTGAGGAGGTAAAGACCTCATATCCTCATATTTCTGGCAGTCGGAGCGCCCAATTTGCAGAACAAGGGGGACTTTTCTGACCATGACAGTCTGGCCTCCATAGCTGTCTATAGCACTGAGGGAGCCAGAGAATTTCTGAGAATTACTGTGTAGTTGGGTACATTCAGCACCAGTGTCAACCAAAGCAGTTACCCTGTGTTCATTTCTGGAGAACTATTGGATAGTGAGTTCCATGTGAGGCCTATGATTGCCCCCGTGGACCTCACCTGAGGATGATATTGGCCTTCAGTCTATACTGGGGACAAAGGGTGGGGAGATGGGGGGGGCACCCAACCAGAGTAGGGTGAAATCCCAAGGGGCTCCCCTGAATCTGTTGAGGTTTCCACTCAGAGAGCTGAGGGTTTGGGGTGGAACTGTTGTACTGGTTTTAAAGCTTTCCTATAATCCCACTAGCACTGCATTAGGCTGACATCATTCTTTAGAGATGCCTGCCACAACCAGATCCTGCCATGTTTGCTTTCAGGTTATCCTCACAGGCCCTTACTTCCCTGTTGCCCTTATTCCCCCTTTTTCTTTCTCTCCCTCCATGTTCCAAATCCTTCCCACAGCTTCAGATGTACTCTTGAAACAGGTTGCTTTCCCCTAGATTTGCCTCCTATTTCCTAACCCTGGCTTCTGCCTCCAGCTGGGTGTTGGTTATCAGCCGAACTGCCCATTAGAGGGGCCAACCTACTGCTGTGGCCATGCGCTTTCCCTCCTTGATGCAGTGTGCAGTGCGTAATTAGTTCCTCAAATGCATGAGACCAGCGAGCATTTTCAGAACGTCCCCATACTCACGTAACATACAGTCCATCCCTCCCCATAGAAGTAGATGGCCCACCTGGGATTTTCCCCCCAGATGCCTCTTTCCCAAGGCCCATCTCTTCAGTCTCATGATTGACTCGCCAATTGTTAGTACACGCAGACCCAGGGAAAGATCCGGGACTGAAAATCTACCTCTATAGAGTGGAGAGCAGGAGAAGACTGAAGAAAGAGGCTGGCCACCCCAGTCTGGTAATTTAAATAGAGTTTATAAGGGATACTTATATATGAGGCACTTCTTAGGCAGCTGTAAGATGAAATGGATCCCTCTACCGCTTGGCAGGTGCCAAAGAATTATATAGGGTAAGAGGGGGACAGTCACAGATACTACTACACGTGACTGTTACCTGGTATGGGAAATGACATGCTTGACCAGGTCTGGACAACAGCCTGTTCCAGGAACCAGCACTCAGTAGGAAGTAAGGGAGGAGTATTGGTTTATGTTGCTACAGTTATCGATTATGATCAGACAGTCGGTAAGGGGGAGTCTGTAGGAGCAACCTTCCCCTTCTGGCCCAGGTCCAGCTCGCGGGTCAGGCAGCAGCTGCATCTTCAAACTATCTTCTCCACAATGTTCTGCATATGGGTTTTTTTTAAAAATGGAGGCAGGGTTTTTGTCTCAATGTGGTAGACTAAACATTGGCACGTGCTAAATTATAGTAAAGCAGCATGAACATTCCTAAAATTCATAAAAATGCTGAGAATAAGCCTGGGATATCAGCAGGTCAAAGATTCTGACAAATATCTGGAAGACACACAGTAGATTGATGAAGCAAAGTAGTGAAAGCCATAATTCAGAGCATGAAAAAGAGCAGTTTGTAGTAGGCTGCTTCTCCAGCCTGCCTACCAGCCTCTCAGCTGAGCAAAAAACATAAAGAAGTGAGAGTAATTTATTTAAGAAGCATAATGGTCTGCATTAAAAAAAAAAATTGTGGTATTTTTCAAACATACACAAAAGTAAAACAGTATAATATGCCTGTATGTATCTATTGCCCAATTTCAGTAATCATCAGATAAGGCCAATTTTGTTTTATTCTTATCCCCACTTGTCCACCCTCAAACTGGATCATTTTGAAGCAAATCTCAGACATAATCATTTCAGGACACTGGATGATCTTAAGGATATGATGAAAATACCTTTATTTTCTTTCACCCAAAAAGGAAAAGAAATTCAGTTATCAAAGAAAAACTGAAAGCTGTATATCCATTCCTGATGCAAAGTACCATGTAGCAGATTTTAAGCAATTGATGGCATTTGACATTTTCACTTGTAATTTATACATCACGACACCTGTGCATTTGAATAAGGAATGTTACATTTCTTTCATTGGTTTTAGTCAAATTACCTGGTTTTATAGTTTAACATGTTCATACAATCCACAGTGTTATAAAACACCATTAATAGGTTTTTCAATCTATAAGCGACACACAGCAGTTTTCCTAGAGTTCTAGACAGGATGTAAATGCTATAAATCACATAAAAATGGCTGAATGTGCCACATAAAGTAAAAATAGACAAAGAGTAAAATAAAATGGGCAACAACATAGAGAAGGTAGTTAAGCTCTTCATCTTTCATGCAAAGGAGTTAATATTGTTTCAAGTTTGATAAATCAAGAAAGGTATAAGATTGTTTAGTTTTAAGTAACAACCAAGGAACTATAAAAGAAATGTAGTCAAAAATGGCCACCTCTAAGAATTGGGTGAGGTCTATTGGGAAAGGAAATGACATAATGTGTGTGTGTATATAATTGCACTTAACTATAATAGTAACAAAACAGATGTTAAATGTCACAGTTATCTCTTAATATGAATAATCACTAAGCCAAAAACTTTTCTGGTGTAAACAGTGTGTTTATCTCACATTATCCCTACCAACATCGTATCCAGAGGAAGAACATTAAATTGAGGAGAGTTGCTCAGCCCTAAAATGGTATATGACTAGAGCCTAATTCCTTAGGTTTTAGTTTAGTACTCAAGTCCTTTAGCTTTTAACTTAATGGGGAAAGACCTGGTAAGTCATGACTCAGAATCGGCGGTAAAACCCATGAGGGTTCACCTGGAGCAGCTGACCCAGGGTAAGGTGGTGGGATCTGGTGGAAGCAGACCCCCAAAGAGTAACCTCCCAAAGCACCTTGGCTGCTGTCTGTCCCATGCGCTGTTTGTGATGGACTCCCAATCTGCCAGGCATACATGGATAAACCAGCAGTAACAGACCCTTTTTTTGATAACTAGAAGCTTTTTTTTATGTATATTGGCAAAATTTGTCCCTTCTTTTGAATAAAGTAATGAGTTAACCAGTTTCTGTTTAGGGTAAGCTGTAGGTGAACCTTAGGAGCACAATCTAATATTTTATGTTACAATATTAGGCCTGGAAAATCGCCAGAGAGGAGTCATGTCTCTTCAGAGCCCTATGAGCCCATCTCCCCACCCCAGGTTCCAGTTGTACATGAGAAACAGGACAGCATGCTGCTCCTGTCTCAGAGAGGAGCAGAGCCTGCAGAACAGAGGTGAGGAGTGGGGTGGACTGCCAGCTAACTCCCGTTATGAGTATACATGTGTGTGTCCAGTACCTTGCAGTTTTCCTCAAAGCCTGTGCCTTTGTTCTCTTGGGTTATATGTCATAATAGGACTCTCGAAGGATCATTTAGCCTGTTTTCCTAGTGTTCTAATGCTAGTGGATTTTAATGGAAAAAAAAAATTTAAATAGGTTATAGGAAAAAATTGTTCATTGTTCTTCTTGAAATTAAGTCCTTCTAGATCTTTTTTTAAAACTTTTGTGTGTGCATGTGTGTGTGTGTGGTTCAACCAGCATTTGAGTGCTTACCATGCACCAAGCGTTGCAGACTATTTATGGAAGGGCAGTAATGAGGAGCACCCATGAAGTGCTTTATATTATTTTTTTTCTTACCATTTCTAACCCTAGCCCAACCTTATGAATTATTACATGTTTATTCCCACTTTGATTAGACACCTTTGATTTGGCCCCTCTCCAGCCTGCTTCCACTAGCATGATTTGTCTAAAACTCAAAGAATCAAGCACTGAGTCGTCAGCATGCCATTTGAGTTCCTTTATGTCTGACCAGGCTTCTGCTCATAGCATTTCCTGCTACTTCACTCTCTTGCACTTCATTCTCTATCCGTATCAAGTTCCTTATTGTCCCCGAATTCCATTCAGTCCATAGTCATGCTGCTTTCTTGGTGTGGAACACCCTCCCCTGATTCTCTGAGAGGTGAATACATTTGCCCATGGTCACATAAAGTAAGAGAGAGCCCAGCTTTAAACCAACATCTGTCTCACTGCAAACTGTTAGTGCATTTCTTACAATGTTGCAAGTTATTTACTTACTTGTATATCCATAGGCATTCAAATAGATGTTGGTACCTTTCAATGAAATGAGGAAGAAAATCCATTTTTGAAGAGAGACTGATGTTAAATTTAATTGTGTATTTACATCTTTTCCCCTAAGTTTGTGAATATTTTGAGGACAGGGACCATGTCTTTTTTTTTTCAATCTCCTTATTCGTCTTTCTTGGCAAATAGTAGGTTCTAACTTGTTCTCATGTTTGAATGATGTATGAATCCACATGACTAGATTATGTTCTGTGTTATTATCTCTGGCACTAGCTAGATCCTTGGTGGTCTTGAACTGTGTTATAGGAAACTTATTTTTTTAAATGTGTTTGTATAGGAAGCTGCCAACAAAATATGAAACCCTTTACATGAAACTCAGCTCCTGTGGTAGGAGACTTTGAAATGATTGTAACAATTTCTACATTGTAGTTATTCTGTTTAAGTCAAATGGTTGATTGCTTAAGTGTGAATTCTTGCTATTATTTATAGGCAAGTGTGCTGTTCATTACAATTTTATTGTACTTCAGATTAGTTCTAGTAAAACAGTTCCCAGTTGATGTGGTAACCATAAATACATCAGTGTTTGTGCTGTTACGTGTACAGCTTCATGATGAGCTGTTTTTGAGTTTTCCTATTAATATCCATTTGCTGCTTATTCATTCTTTGTTAAGAATCTTTGTTATAGATTTTCTCCATGCCAGACCTCATTTATGATTTCATCTTTGAGTGCTAAAATATTTGTGTCTTCAAATATGATATACTAACTCGCTCTGGTCACATACTGTTCCTTAGGATTGTAACCACACACACAAGATGGGGAGGTAGTAGTTTTCCCACATACTCTATGACTGCTATCATCGTTGATAGGAAAATCCCCCAGGTTAGGAGTACGTGATAATAACAGACATAACTGTGTTCCTAATAGGAATGATTCCCGCTCACCAGGGAGTATAAACTACTTGCCTTCATTCTTCACCAAGCTAGAAAACACGTCACCCATGGTTAAATCAAAGAAGCAGGAGATTTTTCGTAAGTTGAACTCCTCTGGTGGAGGTGACTCCGATATGGGTAAGTGGGATTTCTTTCATAAACCTCAAATAAAACATGCATTAATAATGATATCTCCAAAGCTGCCTCTTGTGTAATCCTTGAGTTTAAAGGCTCTTATAGCCATCTACCTAACTACATCTGATCCTAAGGCTCCTTCTCAAATGTCTGTCAGTACATAAAGATTTTCTATTAGGGAACAAGAACTTCCTACTTTCTGAAGCTGTCCATTTTTTCTTTGAATAAGTGCTGGGTCTGGGAAACTTTTCTTATGTGGGGCTGGATTAGCTGTCCATAGTTTTCTACCCACTGGTCTTAGTTTTATCCATTTGGGCCGTCTCTACATGACATCTCTTCAGCTATTTGAAGACAAGTCATGTCCTTTGAGTCTTCTTACCTCTATAAATATCCCCAGTTGTTCATCACACGGCCTGGTTCTGAGTGTTCATACCATCTCAGTTGCTCCCCACTAAAAATATTTTATTTAGCTTAGCTTTTCAGTAGATTCTGAGATTCATCATTATTAAGGGAGCCTACGATTGTATTATGTTTTTTTACATTATAGTGTACTTAGTATCAATATAAACATCAAGGTCTCTTGATGTGCTGCTCTTGATCCGTACCTTTCCCTTGCTGTGCTTTTGGAGTTAACTAGCTCCAAGTATAGGATGATGCAGTCTGTGCTTGCACTATTCCAGCTTTTTCTAACCGTATTAGTAGTGTCTTTCTGGATCTCAACTTAGTCATTCAGCATTCATCTGCAAATCTGATAAACCACTACCTAAAGACATATCAATAATAGTGGTAGCAAAGTTATATGTTGTATATAGCACTCACTATGCTCTCTCAGCACTATTCTAAGAATGTATATATAGTCTACAGCCATACCACCCTGAACGCCCCAGTTCTCATCTGATCTCGGAAGCTAAGCAGGGTTGGGCCTGGTTAGTACTTGGATGGGAGAATGTATATCTAAACTAGTTTAATCTCATAACAACCGTACATGTTACATATTATAGTTATCTCCATTTTGCAGTTGAGGAAACTGAGACTCAGAGATTTAATAACTGGTTAAAACTTACATAGCCAGTAAGTAATGGACTGTGTTTCAAACTCAGGCATCCCAACTCCCAGAGTCCATGCTTCTAATGATGTATTAACTGGCTTCTAATAGTTCTGTACTCATAGCATCATTACCCAGATCTTTGGTAAATATACAGTAGGATAAAGCTCTGTGGCATCCAAACCTTTCCTTTTGGTTGATATACATGTGTTAATCAAAATCTTCCTCATACTGTTATTTAGCACACTAATCCTATCACCCAGTGCTATCCATCTTTTCCTCAAGTATATCCAATGTTAAGAGAGACTTTGTTGGATGCCTTGCAGAAATCGGGGTATACCACAACCTCCTTTATTTCTGTGATCTATGATCTACTAATCTGACCCTGTTTAAAGAAAGGAAATCATGGGCTGTGAACTGTAAAAGTGCCACGTAGACAGATGTGTTTGGGTCTGTGACATTTTTTGATTAATAAAGGTTGAATGTCAAGAAGAAAAAATGATGAACCCAGTGTCACTTATTGTTCATGAACTTATCCTAGCTCTTCATTACCAGATTACCTTAAGTGGCAACAGATCATCTAAAAGATAAATATTCTAGAATGTTGACCAGAATTGCTATTAGGCTTATAGATATCCTTTCTTCTTTTTAAAAAAAATTTTGTCATTACATTTTTGTTTCCAGTCTTCAGTGGTTTCATGTTATTTACAGCTCCTCAAATGTCACCAACAAAAATGTGCTGTCATTTTCAGATTCACTCAGAACCCAGAGATGAATCTGTCAGAGCATGGGACATACAGATTTTAGAGCAGCCGATTGTTAATTGTTTCACCTTTGTATGTTTTGCACTCATCATTTCTAGTCTCTGTCTTGCCATCTTAGTGGGGGGAAAATTCTTGACAGAAAAATGCTACATATGACTTGAAGAAGCCTACTTTATAGTTTTCCTCTTACGTTTGTTTCCATTGTCCTTAGGCAGTAGCTTTCTCAATCCTCAATTCAACAATTATTTCTTGAGCAGGCCACTATGTTGGGTGCTTTTAGAATGACAGATGGCTCTACTCTCTGAAAATGTATACTGAAACAATACCTAACTTTAACAGAAGATAAGTTATTAATGTCTTGAGGCAAATACTAACAAAATTGCTTAAGTCGGGGATTTTTTTTTTTTATTGCAAGAACTTGTTTTGATTGTGGAAAGGGACAATTAAGGAATTGTATTAAGGAACCAGTGGTTTCATGGAACCCCAGTGCACATTCAGTCCTCCCCAGGAAGTGTAACTGTGAAAGCCCTCAGCAACCAAGATAGCTTCGCTTCAACTCAGTGTCTCTCAATTCACTGTTCCACTGAGGACATCAGCACCGTTATTCAGAATAATAACTTAAAGCTTTAAAACGTACTCTGTATGATTTCTGTGTAGCCCTTGACACTTGTGAACCACTTCCCTCTTCAGAAATAGTCTCTTCTGTTGGCTTTGGTTTTTTTCTCTACTTTTTGGCTATTTCTTATGTCTCCTTAGACAGTCTTGCTTTGCCTGGCCCTTGAATGTTGGTTTTCCTAGTTTTCTCTCTCTCTCTGATTCATTTCATCCACTTGGGGAGCTTAAACTGTGTGCTGAAAACTCCCAAACTTCTATCTAGAGTTCAACTTTTTTTTACTAAGCTGTACTTACATATCTTTGCAGACCTCATTTCTTCTTGAATATTTTACTGGCTCCTTAAATGTGTAAAATTAGATTAACATTCTACCTCTCCCCACAGAAATCTGTTCCTCCTCCTGTTTCCTACCTACCAAGCTTACCTTTATGGTGGCTCCACTAATCACTTTCTTGGCAGTTTTCCCTCTCCCTCATTCTTTACCTGTTGATGGATGATGCTGCCTCCTCCTGTCAAGTCTGCCTCCTAAATAGCTCTAATATCTTCCTTTTCCCTCACTCTGTGTTATTAAGTTTGCCCATCTGTTTTAAACCAGAGGCAGGCCCTCAAACTTGATTATCCATCACAGGCACCTGGAGTGCTTGTTAAATATGTGAATTACAGGGCCCCAGGAGTCTAGGAAATTGGTACTTTTACTGCTAGCTACCCTGTTGATTCTGATTTGATGGTCTCAGTACCACACTGAACTGCCAACTCCATAGGAAAAAGGAGTGCGTTTTAAGTGTAGTACCTTAGTATTATAGATTGAACTATAGGAAATTGTCTTCATCTAACCATTTTTTATTAACATGGTGATTTTTATTATGATCCAGCCAAATAATTGCTCAATAAATATTTACAAAATGACTGAATGTGTCCTATTCCACAAACTTGGTGATAACTATGAGGCTATATTTATTACTTTGTTATTTCAGGTTTAGTGTTACCTGGCCCAAAAGTGAGGAGACTGTCATCCGTAGTTATTGTTTTATAGTTCTTCCTGAAGATTTTTCTCCTTCTCCTCTTGACAGTTTAAAGTTTCCTTGATCAAGAAAGGTTGTTTCTAGGCACATGCACTCCTCATCTTCACAGATGATAGGTCTCATTTGTAGGGAAGAATCCATCCTTCTGTGGTCTCATCTAAAACTACATATTCTTCTCTGGGACATCATTTGTTTAGTCACCTACCTACTTCTTATATTCTTTCTCTTTCAAATTCTCAGCATCAAGTTGGAAGACATGATGAAAAACACCATTTATATTCTCAAATTCCTTCTATTTCCGAGTGCACAGTGCCCTATAGGTAATTCCCAGGTTGTCCCAGCTGTTGTCATCCAAACTACAAATTACAGATTGTACAGTTAGTTAGCAGGAACGAAAAGACTCAACAGGCAGAATCTGTCTCATCCTAGGAATGTAAGAATAGTTTCCAATTAACCATGGTAGGGAAGCACATGGTCATTTTCATACTATTCATTGAGCTGTTTTTCCCCTAATCTCAGGCTGCCTCAAACCTGTTGATATTTGCAGGGGTCACCTTAGAATCCAAGCTTTCTTTAGCAAGCCTGGAGTCCTGTGCTGACAGCAACTTTGTTTCCTACTTGTGTTTCTCCAGCAGTGCAAAGTCTCTTTCCTTCGTCTGGGTTATATTACTCCTGTTCTGATTTTCCTGTCTCACCCACTTTATTTCCTGATTTCCTTTTTACAAAAAATTATTCCTTTCACTTTATCTTCACTTATGGGTAAAAAAATAAGGTTGAGATCTTCACTTAAGGGGTAAAAAATAAGGTTGAAATCATGGAAAATAAGGTTAATTTTGTAGGGTTTTTTTTGAGAGTTTTCTCTCTTTGAATGTACATGATTATCACATCTCAGTTAACCTGAATGTTTGTTTAAATACAGCAGCTGCTCAGCCAGGAACTGAGATCTTTAACCTGCCAGCAGTCACTACTTCAGGTAAGATTTAAAATACATTATTTGCCAATATGAAATTGGTATGGTAGCAGTCACTGTGTACCAGAGGGCTGCTCCAGTAGTATGCAAAAATGAATAAAGGCCCATAATTTAATCAGGGAGATAGTAGCAATAAAAAGTGAATTGAGCTATAATAAAAAGACAAACAAAGAGAATCAAAACTATTAAAGAACAGCATAGAAAGTAGGAAATAGACAAGAGAAGACTGTTGTTAAGTAACTTGAACACAAATGGGTGACTGATTCATTTAGCAAAGAAAAACAAATTTCCTTGAGTTGTTGGTGGATTTAGACATCTTGTGTGGGTTCTCGGGTTTTGTTTTTGTGTTTTTTAAACTTTATTGGGGAACAGTGTTTTTTTCCAGGACCCATCAGCTCTACGTCATGTAGTTGTTTTCAGTCTAGTTGTGGAGGGCGCAGCTCAGCTCCAAGTCCAGTCGCCATTTTCAGTCTAGTTGCAGGGGGGACACCACCATCCCATGCGGGAATCAAACCAGCAACTTTGTTCAGAGCACATGCTCTAACCACCTGAACCATCTGGCTGCCCACTGGCAGCTCAGCTCAAGTCGATGTCTTCAATCTGGTTGTGGAGGGTACAGCTCACTGCCCCATGTGGGTATCAAACCGGCAACTTTGTTATTCAGAGCACGCACTCTAAACCAACTGAGCCACCTGGCCCCCCCTTTTTTGAACTTTTATGAGTTTATTTGAGCTAAACTGACAACATATGCCAGTGAGCAAGATCTCAAGTACTCGGGGGTTTTAGGCAACTTGCTAGGTGCTGTGTGTATGTAGTCTGTACATTTCTGTTACCTGATCCGCCTCAGAAATAAGCTGAAATGTTATGGTTGTCTCTTTCAGGCTCAGTTAGCTCTAGAGGTCATTCTTTTGCTGATCCTGCCAGTAATCTCGGTCTAGAAGACATCATCAGGAAGGCTCTCATGGGAAGCTTTGATGACAAGGTTGAGGATCATGGCGTTGTCATGTCCCAGCCTGTGGGAGTAGTGCCTGGTGGTGCCAACACCTCAGTTGTGACCAGTGGTGAGACACGGAGAGAAGAAGGGGACCCATCACCTCATTCAGGTAAAGTTTTCATTTTAGTGCTCTTTTGCTGCCTTTCCCAGGAAAAAGCCTGTTTGTTTTCCAAGTTCTCATCCATCACTAAGAGATTTCATTTATGTGCTCAGAGTCACCTCTGAGGGTTTTATTTACTTAAAAAAAATTTTTTTGACCTGCTCAGACATTTTAGTAACCTGAACAGAAAACAAAAATTTTTGTCCAGAATGTCACCCTCCAGCATAGATCTGTTTTTATTTTTGTTTGTCCTTACCGGTATGCATACATTATAATTCAAGTGCAATTTCATATTCTGCTTTTGAATAGAAGTGGCTTACTATTGTAATAAAAATGATAGGTTTAGTATAAAAGAATTTTAAGCCATAGAAAGGAGTAAGGAAAAAAAAATAATAACCTTCAGATCACATTATCCAGAAAGCTGGTGTTACTGTTTGATGAACATCATTCCAGACATGTCACTGTACAGACACATATAAAAGGATAAATAATAGAATGAGATCATTTTATACATCTTGTTAATGATATAAATCCCACACCAAAAAAATGACTGTAAGCTTTTAATATTTATACAGAGGATGCAAAAAATATACACATTTTAAGAAAGGAAAAAGTATTAAAATTGTAATACAATGAATGACGCTAGCATTCATTTGACTCATGCCATCTTTTGAGCAAACGTTGTACTACACACTGCTACCGTAATTCAATTCAACTTCGAAAAGTAATACATAGATAACATCTCTTAAAATGTGTATTCATTTTTTTGGCACCCCAGTATATAAACATTTATTCTTAATCTTTTGAGAATCTTTCTTATGATTAAAGAATTACCTGAAGATCAGCGGTATTTCAGGTTTAGTTTAGGTTTATTTTCCTCTGTTATCATCAAGCAAAAGATTTCACTAAGTTTAAGTAAGAAAAATGTTAAAGAGATTAGAGGTTTTTATTTATTGTTTTTACCTACATATATTAATTTTAGGATAATATGGATTCACTTCCCGCTCTGAAAAGATAAGCAGTCTTCCCCTTTCTACTCTTCCGATTTTCATTGATTTTAAGTATGTGTATTTTAAGATAATATTGATGATTTAAACAATTAAAATTATTCTGGTTGTATGATCTTTTTATTGTGGCATTTCTTTTTGGTAAGGTTTTCACAGTGCATTTCTCACAAAGGGTGCTGTTAAAAGATCTTTCATGCTCAAAAATGTCTTCTTGTCTTTATATTTGAAATGAGGTCAGCAGATTATAATGTTCTTGACAGATACTTTTCTGAAAACATCCTGTAGACTTACATTTTTTGTCTGGTATTCATTGTTGTAATAAGAAATAAGGCCAGATATTCACCTCCTTTTTGGTGGGTGACAGTTTGCCTGAAGAATCCTTTTTCCCTCCATTTTAACAAATTAACCATCAGTATGTTAGTGTGTGTTAGCATTCAGATTTTCCAGATGACAGGAGGGCGTTTGCATTTACAGGTTGAGTTCTGCACTCAGGGAAATGTTATGCTATTAATTGTGTCTCTTATTTCTGTTTCTTTTGTTGGGCTCTCATTTCAGAAACACAGTTATCTTTTTGTTGGATAGTCGTCCCCCATTATCTGTTACTAATTATTTTAGTCATCTTGATCTCTTTCTTTTGCTTTTACTGTATCTCAAGTTTTTCCTTTGTACTAATAATTCCCTTTTCGTTATGTCTGTTCTGATCCTTGCTATATTTTGTTTCCTAAGCCTTTTCACCTCATTCTTAGTTTATCTATTCTTTGAGCTTCTTCTGCATTACTAGCTTTGTGTATTTTGGAGTTTTTCTTCAGTATACTTAACACCTTTCCCCTTGTTCTATTCTTATCATCAAGAACTTGCATTTCTTCTCTTTCCAGATAGTTCAAGGGATAGAAGTTGCTTTCCACCCACTTTTTTTCTGTACACTGAAGGATTTGGGGCAGTATGAAATTGTTCTGCTGGGCTGAGGAAAACGTTTGCTGATGACCTAGGCTCTGATCTCTTCTGAGATCTTTTTAATGTTTTGTTTTAGAGCCCAGTCGGGGCATCCCACTCCTGTGAATTTCTGCTGAGTTCACCAACTAAACTGCCTGGAAAAACAGAAAGGGCCACCAAGACTTGCCAAGCTTCTGCTGAGGTCCAATAGTGCCATGAAGGGGCTTCTGTGCTACAGTTGTTTTCCTTTGACATATTTCCTTGGGGTGGTAAAATAACTCCTGTTTGCTTCTCCCTAAATTTGTGGGGGAGGAGGTAGTGAGAATTTAAGAGTTTTGTCAACTTGTTTTAATTTCCTTAGCAGTTTCTGTGCTCCAGGGTCAGGAAAGAAATGGTGGTCCATAAATTTTAATTCCTTGGTTACATGTTTTAAGTTAATGGCATGAGGACATACTCCTTTTTTGTTTTGGTTGCCACAAGTAAATTCTGACTTTCTTTTAAATATTTTTTACTTCATTGGGTAGTAGGATCTGGATTCTTCATGCTACCATCCTGTTTCTTTCACTTACCATTATATTATCAGCATTTTGGTAGGGTATAAGTTGAGAACATATTTACTATATATTAACAATCATTTATTTCACTTTCAGGAGTTTGCAAATCAAAGCTGATCAACAAGTCAAACAGCAGGAAATCTAAATCTCCTATCCCTGGGCAAGGCTACTTGGGAACTGAGCGGCCCTCTTCAGTCTCGTCTGTACATTCAGAAGGGGATTACCACAGGCAGACGCCAGGGTGGACCTGGGAAGACAGGCCCTCTTCAACAGGTGAGGAGCAGACTGCTAGAAAATGCGTCTTAAAGCAGTTATATTAGTGCCTTTGTTAGTACTTCTTCTAAAGTCAGAAACTTTGATTGGAAAACTCTATTTCCATTACTGTATCATTAATAAATTTGCTTTCCAGAATAGAAATTGAATACATATAATCTTAAAATTTTTAAGAATGCGGATCTGATTACCATGAAAAAAGAGCTATGAAAAAATATCTCTTCCATTCCCCTCACTTCTGTATTATACTGGTGTAACCAATACCTGCTGTTTGTAAAGCAAGTAAGTCTGTGGTTTCATTTCTTTCTTGAACTCTACCTAAAACATTTCCCAGGCAGCTGTTCCTTCAGCCTTTTGTATAGACATTCTTAGAGAAGGTTCTTAGAGAAATACTAAGAAATCAGTCAGAAATGGGAAAAATAGTTTTAAAAGTCACAATCTATATTAGGCTCACCACGTCTACACACACTGAAGAAAAACAATACTCTAGGATATTTATTAATTTTTTCCATTTTTCCGTTTTGTGCCTGTATGTAAGCTTTATATGTATATAACAGTAATGGGTCATCTTGAAGCCAACTTTCTTTTTTGTTAAATAAAACTAGGATATTTGCTACGGATTTAAGGGTTTCAGGTAATTATAAGCTGTCCTTTCCTTAGAAATGAAATATCTATATACATCACTGAAAAAATTCCTTAAGACATCTATAAATTTCATATGGCTATTATATCAGCACAATTTAAGACTTTTGCTTTCTAAAATTTTCACATGACATGTAAAGTGGTTATATACTGATTTGAAAACTTTTTTTATTTATTTTTTATTTAGTTTTAGCTGAGCCATCCTGCCACCTGTTGGCAGCTCAGCGGCAGCTCAGCTCAGGCTGGACTCGAACCGCTGTTGCTTAGAGCTCAAACTCTTGAGCGAGCTCTTAACCAACTGAGCCACTCGGCCGGCCCGACTGATTTGAAAACTTCCAGCCTAGGCTAGTGACTGATTGTTCTCAAATCTCTTAGGGGAGGAGTTATTAGTAGACCATTCATGAAAATTACTTGATGAAATGGTATGTTTTCTGTTAGAGTATCTTAAGCTGGAGGAGACTTTCTGGGGACAGTGAAACAATAAAGAAACTGACAAAAGGTAGCAGTGCTATCATTAGGTTTGTGTATCCCTCTTCTAAATCTTGAACATTGATAAATCTGCCCAGTGAGATCCAGCCAATGACATGGATCTCACTGCCCCTTGCTGCATCTTGCTGCCCCTCGACCTGCTGAAATTCTTGGGTACTTGTCCTCTTCATCCTCTGAGAACTGTGCTTTTTATCTGTAAGAGTCAAGAGTTTTTGGTGTAACCAGTCTCTTAGTTAGAGCTTACTATCCAATAGTTTTACTTGGATTTTCCATGGAAACACCTAGTTATAGACTCAACAACTAAAAATCCAGGCTTGAGCTTTCATTTCTAGGCTCAGCAACTCTTGCCTTATATGCTGATTCATGTTGTGTCCTTTCCAGACTCTCACAGATTGCTGCGTTATCACTGGCTACAACCTAAGTGGTGAAACCTTGGCCCTCCCCTGTTGTTTCATTTTGCTTAATGTCACAGACCATTTTAGTGGAATAATCCTGCCCTCCTCCATCCTCTGAAAGTTGGATGAAACAGTAACTATGCTCATGACAGTGAAACTTAATTTTTATTTTGTCAGGCTCGACTCAGTTTCCTTATAATCCTCTGACTATGCGGATGCTCAGCAGTACACCACCAACACCGATTGCATGCGCCCCCTCTTCTGTGAACCAAGCAGCTCCTCACCAACAGAACAGGATTTGGGAGCGAGAGCCTGCCCCGCTGCTCTCCGCACAATACGAGACACTGTCGGATAGTGATGACTGAGCTACACAGAAAAGGGATCTGGGTGGGGCCAGGTTCTTGGGGAGGGATCTCTAGTTTTTGGTGGTTTTATTTGTAATTGCAGGTCAAAAACCTGCCTTCCTATGATTTATGTCCAGAGACTTTTCAGGAGAGCCTGGATCATGGATGATGAAGAAATGATGGAAAGGGGGCGGGAGGGGGTGGGGTGGGGAAACAGGACACTGCCTCTGATACAGGCAGTTCAGTGGATTCTGATAGTGGAGGGTTGAAATGTAGAGTTTTTAAAAAGTGGACAATTCCTGTTCTTACATCTGTAAAGAAAACCATAATGTCTTTAAATCACTCTTCTGTAAATAGATTATCTTTTTGCAGTGTTTCCCCTTGCTGTAGTATCTGGTGTACTTATGTTCAAATCAGCACATCAACCCTGGGGGTACTTTTTAAAAATCTTCTATCTTTTTAACCCTTGCCTTCTAAACAACCTCATACAGCCCAGTTACATAATGTTGGCTGTCACGGGCATTGTACTTTTATCCTATTTTGTTTCCTCTCAATTCAGGTTCCCAAGTGATGTTTAAAATCTTGTGGAAATGTTTAGATTTTTAAGAGAGACCCTGTAATGAAATCTGTACATTAATGTATTAGGGTCAAAAGGTAGGAGAAACAAAATTCTGCCATATTGTAAATTTCCAGTGCAGGCTTTAATTTTTTTTAATGAGTAGCGATGAAAAAATATTATTGCATGGGTATGTTATAGTTCAGTTTTTAAAGTTTTAAAGGCTTATTTGAGGCATACCTCATGTTATACACACTGGTAATTTAACCATGCCCCTAAGTATTCTTTTTCTCCTTCATTTGATGCAGCCCAACAAAGCTTTTGTTTTTGAAATAAATTTGACTGCCCTGTCCATAGGTACAGTAGATTATTTGTGATTTAAGGCTCTTGATGTCTCAGGTTTCAAAGGAAAAACTTATACACTTTCATTTAGTTTGATATATGTTATTGGCTGAGTTAGAAGATGATGATTTGTGTAGCATCTCAGTCTTACTAAGATTTCCTCTGTGCTGTGCATCCTGCACTCTCAAAGTGAACATCAGGGTCCTTCCCCTTCCCTACTCATATGTGCCAGTGCTTCCTCTCACTGGAATTCCTTGTGGACAAGAGTTTATTGTAGAATGTTTTCATTTCACTGAATCTCAAGGTTTTAAGACTGAATGTTAACTAATTATGGTACTAGAGGGTCAGTTTTGTCCTTCATTAATAATTGCTTGTTGAATTTTTAGTTTTTCATACAACTTAGGCATAGCATTAAAGCATCCTTCCATAGCATATAGATACTAAGTTTTGGGAGAATACCACTGATTAGAAAGGGGAGAGTAGAGGTCTCTCAGGATGATAAAAATTAGCACTTTATAGACTTTTAAGTAGACCTAAACTTGTTAACAAAAGTACTCAAGCCTCTAAAGAAAACAGGTCTGTGATAACCACTGACTGAGTGCCTCCTTTGTAATGAAGTGTTAACTATGTGTGATTGAGACCCTCACCTCACCTTGTAGCACTGATGTCTAATTCCTATTTTATAGACGAGGACCCAGGTTCAGTACTTTACCCGTATAGTTAAAACAGGCATCAAAAATAGGCCATAAACCCGTATGTGTCTGAAGTTAAAGCCTTCATTCCTGTTACTATTCTACTCTTGTATACTTGAGATCCTCAAAATAAACTTCAGATCAGGTTTAGTAACTGGATTCCTACTACTTGGCAAGTTGGTATCACTTAATTTTATCATATATATATATATATGTATATATATATATATGTAAAATTTTAATGTGAATGAAAAATAACTAAATATTCTATTTAACAGTGTTCTGCTGAAATTTAAGATACTGACTTCATTAACAATTTATATTGTCAACTAACCCAAAAGAGGTTATGATGGTATTTTTCTATGACCCTGAGGGTCTTAACCTATTCCAAACTGTCTCCATGGTTTTTGAGAACATGTAAGATCAGAGCCTAACTTGTGACTTTTGCCATTCCTTTTGAGGACCCCAAAGTAAGCGGCTGTTAACCACTCATCCCATCCTTATCACAATGCATGTGTTTAATTTCATCTGCCATCACCTGGAGATGAGATTTCAGAATGGGAGATAAAACCCACTATCATTTCTTAGTTCAGAACAATGAAAGGACAGAATTCTCACATGCCATGCCTATGGACCAAACCTGAGAGGGCTAGAGGTCCATGTTAGCATGACTGAAAACGGCAAGCACAGCTCTGAGAGTGACTGATTACTTGTTGAAGTTAGCTGTGAACCAAGGTGTAACACTGATTGTAGGCTGAGATTTCAGTGTTCTGAAGCTACATCCTTATACAAGATTTCTTAGCACCCAGAACTAAATTAAGGTCTTCCTAATATACATAGAAATATTCTGATGGCCCAATTTCCATGCACGTTTATAATTGGAAGTTTCATAATGCTTTAATTTTGGTATGCTGAGAGATTCCATTTTAAAAATAGGATATTTATGCCCTGAACACTCTAGTGACAAAGTTCAAAAATTTAAACTACACTATTTTTAACAATTCCCTTTGGAATTCAGACTGGTCAGTGCTCATTCTGCTTTCCTACCTTGTTTTACAAGAGTGCAAATGAACTTGACTGAGAACATTCACATGAAGAGATGATTGTCTTTCTGAAAACTCCAGGACCATGAGCTGAATCATTGTGGAGGATCAAAAAGTCTTAAATAAAACCTGAAGTGAAAAACCTAACTAACTTTCACTAACCCCTCCAATTGTGAAAAGTTAAAAATATTCTCAATGTAGAAGGTGAGTAGTTTACTGCTTTTTTTAAAATCACCAATAAATTAAGACTGGGCTGCACTGAAGCTCAGTCTGCTTTATATTATAATTTGTCTGAGTTAAGACTTAATTAAAGGAATTAGCTGGGTAATAAATAATAGATGCACTTAGATGGTAAGTGGGAAGAAATTTACATTTGCAAAATACAAAATTCTACTTTAAGTCTGATCCCTGAGGATTTGGACCTCAGGGATTCTAGTATTTTATTTTTATTAACTCTTCAATAAGTTACTTTTTATGAGAAACTCAAAGATTACAGCATACATACATTATTGTTGTAGAGTCTCTAGTTTATTGTGAAAGGATTCTTCCAATGTGTACATAGGAACCAAAAATACCAGTTTATCATCCTCACCCCATCCTCACCCCAACCTCACCCCAACCCCAAAGGCATACCAATAATAACAGTGTTCCTTCATGGTACATAGAAAAATTACCTTTCACCTAGGCAAATGGCTCTTTGCAAGACTGCTAAGGTAAAAACACCCACCTACAGATCCTGTATTTACAGATGGTCCCTGACTTATGGTAATTCAACTTAAAAAATTTTTTCAATTTACGATTTTTGACTTTATGACGGTGCAAAAGCAATATGCATTCAGTAGAAATCAGCTGGGCTAAGCTACAATGTTGGGTGTATTAAAATAAAATGCTATTTTGTTTTTAAAGCTGAGCCATCCTGCCACCTGTTGGCAGCTCAGCTTGGGCCTGGACTTGAGCCGCTGTTGCTCAGAGCTCACACTCTTGAGCAAGCTCTTAACCAATTGAGCCACTTGGCCGGCCCTAAAATGCATTTTTGATTGATGGTATTTTAAACATATGATGGGTTTATCAGGATATAACCCCATCATAAGTCGAGGAGCATCTGTATACACTTTCTAGACTTCGAAGCAGAATAAAATAAAGCTCTTTCAACATAGCGGTCTATTCATACCTTCTTCCACAGCCAAGAAAGAATCTCATTTGTTCCCTACATTACAGATGAGGATACTGAGACCCAAATTCAAAAAGCCAAGACTAGGATCCAGGGCAATGACAGTTCTACTGTACCTGTGGTGCATAACAGAATTACTGGGGAGGCTTTAAATACTACACTTGTAGGGCCCTACCCTGAATCAAAAGGTTTGGGGTGCAGCCTGGGCATGTATCTTTAAAGAGCTCCTAAATGAGTGTTTGTGACGGAGGTTGCAAAGGAAATGGAGTGCTCAGAGAGCATTGATGAGATTATATGATACCCCTTCCCCATTTTTTTCATAGTTGTGTATATAGCTAGATACATACAAAAACATACAGTTCACTTTCATTTATGATCAAATAGAGGCTATACTTTTCAAGTGCCTAATCCTACTTTAAAACTTCATGCTGGATGCTGGTGGCAAACCAAGATGATATTACTTTTCCTCCTCTATGGATTAAATCCCACACTGGGCTTCATGAAATAGATTATAAGAAAAATAACTCACCATAATCCCCCTTTGCCATGACAGGTAGCTTTGGTCTGCCAGATATTGATCAGAGAAAAAAGGGCAGCAAATCAATGGACCAGAAACTTCTGGTAAAGGTGCCTGTGTGAATTACCACACGTCCACCTGAGGAAAACCATCCCACCTTAATCTATAGTTAAACCAGCATAGACAGCACCTAACCATATGCTACTTCACCTGACATCCATCCTTAGAAGGGAAAAGCAGTCGGGGATGAAAGTTGTTTTTCCTTTAAAAAACAAAAGTGGAAGTGTATACAACTTGTCCTTCACTGAGGATAAATTGAGGAAACTTGAATTCTAAGGACAAAGGGGATTAAACATTGATTTGGGTGCCACTAAGACTGGAATAATAAGCTGTTACTGGAAAGTCCCTACAACAAAAGTGATTTAGAGCTTGATAGAATTAAGTCAAAGGTCTACTTTTTCTGGACAGCTCAGTCAGTTCTTCCCTGATGTGCTGTATAGAAACCTCATCTCTTTTCAGCTCTGCTTGCTTCAGTGCTTCCTGGTAGATTTCTTTTGCTTGTGCATATCGTTCTAAAATAACCCAAAGAGAAGGGAGAAGAAGAAAATGTATGTTTTCAAAGTGATTCTGAAGAGAGAGCACTAGAGATGGTTCAGGTCTAATTTACTGTGTGCTTATTAAGTGGCAGGCTAGTTCTGCCTCATCTCCTCCTCACTGGACACGTTGGCGCTTAGAGAGGCTTTAGGGGCTGGCAGGGGGCGGACAGGACTCCTACCTGCTTTTCCAGTCAGTTATACCCCGGGGCCCTGACTCCATTGGCCAAGTACTTACTTAGGGTGCTATATGTAAGAGGATGTCATTCCAAGTTTCTGGAAATTACATGTGAAGCCCTGAGTAGTATGGCATAGTATGTCTGTCAAACTGATATTCCCTGTCTCACCAGCTTTGTAAGTACACTGAGGAACTAATGAAGTTATATATGTGAAAACATTTAGAAACGTACTATCATGGCAAAGTTTTCTCCACCTTGATGTGGTTCAATGGGCCAGTGCAGGACTATTAACTAGAAGTTAATGTGAATTGAGCACAATGGCATTTCAACCGAACACACATCCTTTTTGTATTACTCAGCCAGCCTATTAACTGGGGCTTCCTCACTGCCCCTTGCCCTCCCAAACGGCAGTTCACAAATTGATAAATCCAGCAACTCCTTCTCTAAAGCCAGTCAGTCAGGATCTCACAGCTCCCTACCTTTGTGCATCAGAATTGCAGCCAGATTGCTGAGCAGCATGTGGAGCTCAGGATGTTCTATTTGTCTCGCCAGATCTGACGCCCTTTGCACATAAACACAAGCCTCATCAAAGCGGCCTTGTGCATCCAGGGTGGTAGCCAGGTCACTCATCAGCACAATGGTCTATGCATGAAAGAAAAAACAGCCTTTTCTTAAAACAAAAAAAAAACCCTACACATAATTAATGCTAATCTGGAGTTTGATAAACTGAATATACTTAAGATTCCATCTTTCCTGGCAACCCACAACAGGGGAAGAACATCAGCCCTTATCATTCACACTGTATAATGGACAGCAGTTTGACCCTCTGGAAAAGATACAAATCTAGAAACTAGGGAACAGGAAGAATATTAATATAACTATTAAATTAGAAGGACCAAATGAAAAATAATGGCAAAAAGAAGCTCTTATATGATCCCATTTAAGGTTCGGCAACCTCGAGAAGCCAGCCCTCGGGGCCGTACTATATTATGTCATTCCTACTGGCAACCCTGAAAACTCATTAAGAAGAAATATATCATTGATTTTAGGAAGATATTAAGAGTTTTTTAAATGTTGGTACTAAGAGAGGTAGGCCCTACCTCTTCCACTGAAGCCATCCGCTAAGGCCCCAATTGCAGTACGTGGTGATTTGAATTCCATGTTTGTCTTATTCTTCAGTGATATTCCTTTAAGGGGACTCTATAATAAGTCCTAAATCCCTTTCCTGAAGATAATCATAGCCCAGTAACTTGCCCTGCTCACCTATCCCAGCCCTGGGACACGTTCAGTCCAGGTAAAATTTTTGTGTCCTTTGGGGTACCAAGCATTCACAAAGTGAAGCACTTCTTACCTCTACAAACTTAATTTGATAGAGGAGACACAAAGATGACTTCAATGTGTTTACTATTCTATTCTAACAGCTTTGCATGGTGTGCTTTAATTCTGTCAGTCATAATTTTTTTTTTAATGCAGTCCCTCTTTCCTCCACTTTCCAGTCATTTTACCTGTGGGGTGAGGAAGGCAAGGATCTTCTGAAAGATTGTGCTGTGTACTCAGAAGCCTCCCTCAGAAGCACATGGTGCCTGCTTAAACATGCATTTTAGAAAGGCTGCTCTGGCGTGTAAACCAATACACAGGCAAACTGTTCCCGGCAGACCCAGGAATTGATCAGCAGTCTCAAATCCTTTTTGAAACAAATAGTTGGAGGTGGAGGGAGTGGTGGCAGGAAAATGAATGGACTGGGGTGTGAAGAAGAGGACATAAGCAGGACATCTGATTATCTGTTCCTAGTGTATGGCACTTCACACCCATAAATTCTGAAATACTTTGTTTTATAGTCTTTGTTTTCCTCTTACCTGTGGGTGTCTTTCTCCTAATATTTCTTCAGAAATATGCAAAGCTTTTTCACACATCCTTTGTGCCTGTGATGGCTGCTTGGAGAACAAAAGGTAGCGAGCGTAGGCATCTAAGCACATGCCAAGAAGGAGGTGGGTATTGGCTTTCTCTTCCACTAAGAAAGAAATAAGAGCATTGCAGGGATGTAAGAAGTACAATATAGAAAATGAGGCAAAGAACTGGCCACCCTACCCATCATTTTTCTTCTACCAAGACCCACAAATATTTTAATAGTACATGACCCACTGAATGTTTCATGTCACTTAAGTACTTTCTAGCCTTATACTTTGTTACACAAAGGTGACAATTTAAGTGGATCGATATCTAAATTGGTTCCTGAACCCAATTCCAACATATGCGCTCGCACGTGCATCAGGTTCCCCACACCAACAATTCTCAAGATGTCAGCAGGGTGTCCAGGAATTCAACTCAGTTATGATGCCATCTACCCAGAGATAGCATCAGATTCCATAGGTTAAGGGTCCAGTCCTACAAGGCTGCAAGCCCCTCTCCCCAGCTTCAGGCACCAGTAGAAAGCCCAGGTTGTTACCTGTGCTTTTGACAGACCAGCTACAAACTGGAGGTTCCAACGACCCCCTCCAACTCAATGCCAATGCCAATTCCAAGTCCAGGTTGTTACCTGTACTTCTCACTGACTGGCTGTAAATCAGAGGTTCCCGGACTCCATCCTTGGGTTTGATTAATTTGCTAGAGCAGTTCACAGAACTCAGAAACATTTTACTTTCTAGATCACCGGTTTATTATAAATGGATGTAACTCAGGAACAGCCAGACTGAGGCAATGCCTGGGCATGTGCAAGGGGCAAAGGGGCGCGGGGCCTCCATGCCTCTCCAGTGTACCACTGTCCCAGCACCTCCCCAAGTTCACCAACCCAGAAGCACTCCAACCCTGTCCTTTCGGGGTTTTATAGAGGCTTCACTACCTATGGAGGCATGACTGATTAAATCACTGGCTACTGGCAATGCTTCAACCTCCAGCCCCTCTTCCTTTCCCAGAGGTCATGGGTGGGACTGAAAGCTCTAACCCTCTAATCATGTGGTCAGCTCTTTTGGCAACTGGCCGGCACTCTCAGGAGCTTTATAAAAGTTGCCTCATTAACATAACAAAAGAAATCTTTATCACTCAATATTTAGGAAATTTCAAGGGTTTGGGGCCTGTGAGTGAGGTAGGAACTGTGGGCAAAGACCAAATAAATATGAGAAATACATTTTGGTCATCTGAATGACCAAAGATTATTTGGTCAGTCATTCAGATGACCAAAATGTATGTCTCATAAATCACAATTATTGCAACATCCAATTAAATGACAAACTTTTCCCCACATCTTAAACAAGATTGAGTTCACACACTGACTAAAATGTGGACTATTATTTTTAGCTTGAAACTAATATTTAGCAGATACATATGAAGATAAACTCAGAGAATGAGTTAACAACAAAGAAAGTCTAGGACCAATGAAAAAGTTTTAAGGTGCAAAAAAAAAGGCACTGTAGTAAGAAACCACAGAACATTAGAATCCTGAAATGGAAAGTGACAAGCCAAATTTAAAGCACAGATGACCCATTTTTTGAAGAGTAATAATTGAGGCTGCAATGATATAGTGCCTATGGACACATTACAGAATTGACTACACAGTGTCTGAAAAAAACATCCAGTGCCACATAAAAAGAACTGGAGAACACAGATCTAGAGAACAATAACAAATAGATGAGTTTTGTCTCATAAATGAGAATCAGCAGACAATAAAAAAGGAGGCCTCACCCTTAAGAATTTTAGCTAATGAAACAATCCCAGACTATGTAAGTAGGTTTAAAATAATTATATGTCAAGTATGCTCCACACCTCAGAGCCTTGCACTTGTTCTACCTTTGCTTGTAATTTTCTTCCCTTAGAGACTGTCACTGGCTTATTCCCTCCCATTCCTCAGATTTCTTACCAAGTAGGCCTTTCCCGACTCCTCTATAAAACAGCACACTGCCCCAACATACCCCCTATAGACATATGCCCTCATGTGTACATATCTATATAGCACTTAATCATCTTTGGATATATCATCAATTTACTGGACAGTGTGTTTTTTCCTCCACTAGAAACTTAGCTCTATGAGGCAGCGACTTTGTTTTATTTAACCTTTATCTCAGTGCCTACTAATGTGTCTGGCACATAACAGGCATTCAATTAAGTATTTCTTGACTGGTTGAATGAATGAACAAATAAAAAAATTAAAAACATAAAGATACTGAACTAAATATGGAAAGATTTAATGAAACTAAATGAAAATAAAATTAATTTTATTTATAGAATTAAACACTGGCACGCCATCAATCTATGAAAACTCAATATAGAGCTGTTATTAGAAATCAGTGAAGAAAGGATGGACAAATAAAAACAGTCCTGAACTAAAAACCTGTCTATGAGAAAGGAAAAAAATTATATCATTACCTCACACCATATCAAAAAATAAAATTTAGGTAAATTAAAGACTAAGTGTAAAGAAGCCAAATAGTTAGAAGAGACTATCTTTCTGACCTTAGAAGAGTGAAGGATTTTTATTAAAGATACACAAAAGCACAAACTATAAGGGAAAATATCAAAAGATTCTATTACATTCAAATTTTAAGCTCTGTCAAATGCCACATATGAAAAGACAAGGCCACAAAGAGATCTGTAACCTACAAAATATAAGATGCTCAAATACATAAAGAACTCTCACAAATCATTAAAAGACAATCCTTCTAAAAAATAAAGGATGTAAAGAATTTTCAGAGCAGGAAATCTGAATGGTCAATAAATACATGAACAGATGTTCTATATCTCATTAGTAATCAGAGAAACACACACTGAAGCCACAATAAAATTCCATTTCATACCCACCAGATCAAAAAATTTAAGTGCAACAATAAAGATACAGAGCAACAAGAACGCTAACACACTGCTAGTGAAAACAAACTGGCAAACCATGTTCCTAAGCAATTTGGTAATATCTAGTATATGCACCCCAGCAATTCCACTCTAAGGTACGGACCCTAGGAAATAGCTTACATGCGTGCAGAGACACAGGTCCATGAAGGTTCAAAGAGGTACTATTTTTCACAGCAAAGCATGTAGAACCTACACATCCATCAACAGGAGAACTGCAGTATATTCATACAATGGAATACTACACTGCAGTTGCAGTGAATGAACCAATCAGGGCCACCTCTAGCCTGTATCACTCCTTGCGAGGATGGAAAAAGGCTCAGCCTCACCCCTCACTCCAGTGGGCTAATGAGAGTAAGTCTCCTCCTTCTGGACAAAGGCAGCCCAGCACACATGCGGGTTGGCCAGCAAATGGCCTTGGTGCTAGGGGAACAGATGCTGTAAGTGACACCATGATGAATCACACCATAATGTGGAGTGAAAGAACAAACTGCAAAAGCAACTGTACAGTATATCACTCCTATAAAGTTCAAAAATCTATTAGACTCCCTGTATATTGTTTACTGATATATACAAGTATAATAAATAGGTATAAGAATGGTAAAGACCAAAAGCAAATTTAAGGTAGTAGTTACACTGAGCACGAGTCCACAGGGGTTTAAGCTTACAAACAAAAAAAAATTCTGGAGCACATACAGTAAAATACTTAGATTTGACAAAACTAAGGGGAAGGTATACAGGTATTTCTTAAAGTCTCAGCATTTTATTTTTGCTTGACATCTTAAAAAGAAGAAAAGCGCAGAACTGACTTTTCTAAATGATGTCAGTAATGTGGACTACAACACTTGAGAAATTTCCAAAACACAGACAAGAAAACTGAGGGAGGATAGGGTAAATATATAGGAAAGAGAAGAGAGGCCAATACACAGGTAAAATGAAATTCCTGAATGAAAGACCACAGCAAGTAGAACTGGGCAATAATCACCAAAAGATGTATTACAGAAGCTCAAGAGAACTGGATCTTAAAAACAGAAGTTCTCCACAGACCAGGTGAAATTCATCAGAAGCCTAATCCCCTAACCGTATGCTAAGAAAACTTCTGATTCCTATAAAGCAACCAGGAAGGAGAAAATAAGCATCTACAAAAGAAAGCAAATAAGTTGGCTTCAGAATTCTCTGCAATAAATCCCACTGGGTCTAAAATTCCAGGTCATAGAGAAAAAACAACTGGGGAAAGGAGAAGGTGGAAGAATGTTATACTGTACTCACAGAAGAAACTGAAAACAGAAATGTTTTTCCCTGAGTCAAAAATGCTTGAAGAAATTTTTAGGTTACCTCTAATAGAACTGAAAACCATATGTATTGCTTCCTTCCAAAATATAAATGGAGATTTAGTGAGGAAAAAGTCCCTAAAAGAGGGCCCTGAAAACAAAAGAAATGACAAAAGCTGAAAGCATTTTTTTAAAATACAAAAATTAGACCAAATATTACTTTTAATACCTATTTAAGGTTTTAAGATTCTCTATCACAAGACAATGATATTCAAAAATTGGTTTTTTTTTCAAAATCCAAATACAGTGTTCTACAAGACACACTGACAACAAAGTGACTCAAAAAAAGTTAAAAGATATAGCCAACAATGTAAAACTAAAATTTGTGAAAAACAGGGCCGGCCGAGTGGCGCGATGGTTAAGAACTGGCTTGGGACGCCAGAGGGCCCCGGTTCGGATCCCACATATGAGGGTCAGTGACACTGCCCTCTACAGCTAAGATGCTGAACAACAGCTCAACCTGGAGCTGGGCTGCCGTGAGTCGCCGGCGATGGCGTAGGCTGCAGCCCCTGTGGCAGTGGGTTGCATGGGCTACCGTGTGTAGCCAGCAACCAGCGTGAGCGGCCAGCAGCTGCTGTGAGCAGCCGTCCAGAAGCCGGCGACTGATCTGCCTCGCCCGGGAAGAGTGCAATGATGGTACCAACTTGGGCTAGTGAAGCGACGTCCTCCACAACTAGACTGAAGAACAAAACAGCAACTTGTCTGTTCCCCTTCCCCCAATTCCCCAGCGCTGTTCCCATCCCCCCAATTCCCCAATAAAAATCTTTAAAAAATAAATAAATAAATAAATAAAATTTGTGAAAAACAGGACAAAGAAAGAATCATTTTTCTGACGAAGATATAT